GAAGAAGAAGAAGAAGAAGAAGAAGAAGAAGAAGAAGAAGAAGAAGAAGAAGAAGAAGAAGAAGAAGAAGAAGAAGAAGAAGAAGAAGAAGAAGAAGAAGAAGAAGAAGAAGAAGAGGAAGGAAGAAGAAGAAGAAGAAGAAGAAGAAGAAAAAAAAAAAAGAAAGAAGAAGAAGAGAAGAAAGAAGAAGAAGAAAAGAAGAAGAAGAAGAAGAAGAAGAAGAAGAAGAAGAAGAAGAAGAAGAAGAAGAATAAGAAGAAGAAGAAGAAGAAGAAGAAGAAGAAGAAGAAGAAGAAGAAGAAGAAGAAGAAGAAGAAGAAGAAGAAGAAGAAGAAGAAGAAGAAGAAGAAGAAGAAGAAGAAGAGAAGAAGAAGAAGAAGAAGAAGAAGAAGAAGAAGAAAAGAAGAAGAAGAAAGAAGAAGAAGAAGAAGAAGAAGAAAGAAGAAGAAGAAGAAGAAGAAGAAGAAGAAGAAGAAGAAGAAGAAGAGAAAGAAGAAGAAGAAGAAGAAAGAAGAAGAAGAAGAAGAAGAAGAAGAAGAAGAAGAAGAAGAAGAAGAAGAAGAAGAAGAAGAAGAAGAAGAAGAAGAAGAAGAAGAAGAAGAAGAAGAAGAAGAAGAAGAAGAAGAAGAAGAAGAAGAAGAAGAAGAAGAAGAAGAAGAAGAAGAAGAGAAGAAGAAGAAGAAGAAAGAAGAAAGAAGAAGAAAGAAGAAGAAGAAGAAGAAGAAGAAGAAGAAGAAGAAGAAGAAGAAGAAGAAGAAGAAGAAGAAGAAGAAGAAGAAGAAGAAGAAGAAGAAGAAGAAGAAGAAGAAGAAGAAGAAGAAGAAGAAGAAGAAGAAGAAGAAGAAGAAGAAGAAGAAGAAGAAGAAGAAGAAGAAGAAGAAGAAGAAGAGAAGAAGAAGAAGAAGAAGAAGAAGAAGAAGAAGAAGAAGAAGAAGAAGAAGAAGAAGAAGAAGAAGAAGAAGAAGAAGAAGAAGAAGAAGAAGAAGAAGAAGAAGAAGAAGAAGAAGAAGAAGAAGAAGAAGAAGAAGAAGAAGAAGAAGAAGAAGAAGAAGAAGAAGAAGAAGAAGAACCTGATAAGTTGTCTCGAGTCTTAGCCGCTTTCAAAACAACAATGTCTTGGCGGACCAAAGAACTGAAAGCACTGCTCCCTAATCCCAGTGTGGGTTCCGGAGCCCCATTGTTGGGGGAAAAACAAGAATAAACCCACCGCCGCCCCAACAAACATGTCGTAAGAGTCAACTAACTGTGGGCTTCCTTCAAAGTCGGAGTGCATCTGCCTTGCAGGCAGAGAACCAGTTCATACAAATAAGCAGATCTGTAGCATGGATGTGCACCCAAAATTCAAGTTATAGAACAAGACTAGTCCAGAAGTAAATGAATAACCAGAACTTTCCATAGCTGGTGAATGCTAAAAAGAAGAAAAAGATCAATCTCTATATATAAAAATCAATGTTTGTGTGTTTGTTTGGTCTCTATAGACTCGGAAACTACTGAACCGATTTAGCTGAAATTTTCAGGATATGTTTGTTGTGATACCGGATTTTGAACCGTCGTGGTTTGAAATTCAACCTGTCACTGTTAGAGATAGGTGACCACAATTTATGCCAAAATATACGCAACTAATATTTATAACTTTAGTGATTTCTAATTATAGCCACGTTAGTAATTGCGCATGCGCCGTATTTACCATTCGCCCGCGAGTTACGTGCAGCCAACGCCTTCTCTAATACTAATACATAGAGTAGGTCGTGGTACAGCAAACAAGACTATCTCTATATTTGCCACAATAACCATATTAAACACGATTTCTATTTTCTTTTTTTTTTTTTTTTTTCAAACAACCTTTCGATGGGGGGGGGGGGGGGGGGGGGGGACTATCTCGACGTCGGCGCAGACGGTGACTGCGACATTAACTTCATTAACCGTGTTAGACACGTGCGATTTCTATTTCATTAATATATCTGGAGTATCTGTCTACGAGAAAACAATTGCCTGCCGTTTTGAATTGTGTTTTAATCGCGACACAGTGGTAGGGACACATATGTCTAATAGTTGTGTTCTCTTTTCGTTGTTCCGATTAAGTGGCTGCTTGGTCGAATGGTTAGAACACTGGGTTCAAGTGCGGTAGACCTGGGTTCGAATCCGCAGTAGTTAAATTTTTTTTTTACCCCGTACTAAAATAATATCCTCATCTGCTCTGTCGTGGTGACAGCACTAGCCATGTTGCCTTAATATTAGAAAAAAAAAAAAAAAACCAACAAGTAAATGGGTAAACCATTTGATAATTAAATTTGACCATTTCGCATACTCATGATTGCATTGTTAAACTTTCCGATTGCATGGTTACGCTGAAATTTTATAGATTTTCATTTATTTTCATTTAGATTTAGTTATTTCATCTGTGTTGGAATTTTAAGCTGTGCTGTTTACAATGGCGTTCATTTCCTAATTATGGTGTTTTTTTCCTGTGTTCATTTGCTTTTCAAGTGTTTTTTTTTTTTCTCCCAACTACTTCAATGTGGGAAAGAGTTGTCGGTGAATTTGGGGGGAGGGGGGGGGGGCGAACTATTAACTGAGAGAGCTTTAAGTCAAAGTAACTGCTTTACCCACTTAAAGTATCAGCAGCAGTAATAGTTGTGGTTGGGCTGTTACACCATAGTGCTCTCATGTGAAGACCGCCGGTAAGGTTATGGCGTTCTTCTGTCGGCAAGTGAAATTATACATCCTAATCTGACCAGTCTGTGGCGACAGCACTAGCCATGCGGAACCAAATCTTCTGGCTCACGACTCTCTGTCTACTCCGATGGTAACACAGATAGCAGTGATTTCTAATTATAGCCACGTTAGTAATTGCGCATGCGCCGCCGTAGTCAGAACGCAAGGCTTCCGCCATTCGCCGGCGAGTTACGTGCAGCCAACGCCTTAATACATAGAGTAGGTCGAGGTACCGCAAACAAGACTATCTCTATATTTGCCACAATAACCATATTAAACACGATTTCTATTTTCTGTTTTTTTTTTTTAAACAACCTTCGATGGGGGGGGGGGCAATCAAGGACTATCTCGACGTCGGCGCAGACATTGACTGCGTCATTAACTTCATTAGACAGGTGCGATTTCCATTGTCTTTCTTTTCTAAAAACCTTTGATGAGGGAGAGGGTACTAGGTGGATTTAGTTGTGGGGGGGGGGGGGTGTGGGGGGGGGGATCAAAGACTATCTCAAATTACGCCACAGCAATGCATGGCCGGGTACAGCTAGTACTACATAATTTTCTAGATAGATTTTGCAATTTTTCCAAATTTAAACTATGGGTAGCCACGTCAGCATGCAAATTTTTTTTTTTTTATATTTGTTAAAAATTTTCTTTTTTAATTAAAATTTTTATTATTTCAATTTTATTTCCTACCGCTGAAGGATGTGTAACCTGTGCAATATGCACAGAGACTCTTTCAGGCTTCTACCCCTAACAATGATACACATCTGATCCATTACCCAAGAATCAAGAAAGTCCCAGTGTGGCTTTTGGGGCCCTATTTAGGGGGCAGAGGCAATTCACCCCTGCGCCCTTAACAAGCATATTGCAAAAGGGCAACTAGGAGTTTCTGAAATCAGCTATGCTGGGTGGCAGTTGTGAATATTGCAGCCTTTTTGTAAATCTTTTAAGGGCGAACATAGAAAAAGAGAAAATCAACATATAGTGTATTTTACTTAAGACAAACATAGAAAAAGAGAAAATCAACATATAGTGTATTTTACTTAAGACAGAGTATACTTTCCTTAAGACAGAGTATACTTTCCTTAAGACAGAGTATATTTTCCCCACATAACTGCGGCCATGAACTGAACCTGTTCTCCACAAGCAAATGTAAATGCCATAAACTCTAAGCCAATTTGCCTGCACTTATCAGGAATGCAAAAGATTCTCATTCTTGCTCATTAGCTACCTCACATGCTCATATGGTTATTGTGTCACTGTTGCTGGCACCCTTGCATCTTTCCAGATGGCAATGTTCTATTGGGCTATAGAGAGGTATGGGAATCCCAGCCAATGGTGACACCTCACAGCATAAACAGTGGGACAAAAGAAGAATACAGACAGACGAAACAGAAAGAAGAATATAGCCACCAAGAACTGACACAAATCTTCGTCATCTTCATTCACATTTGTTAGCTCTGGCAGAAATTTCTGGTTGTTCATCCACTTCTGGACTTTAAACTTGTTCCAGAACCTGAGTTTTGTGTGCACATCCTTTTACAGATTTGGCTTATTTGCATGCAGACTACTGGTTCCTCCCCTCTCAGGCAGATGCACTCTGACTTCAGAGGAAACATCCCTAATTGACTCTTTGACTCTTAAGACATGCTTGCTGGGGGCAGTGGGTCTGTTCTTATTCTTCCTACAAGGGGCCTCAGAATCCACATGGGACATTGACATACATTAAACTCAAGGAGGGACCTGTGTAGTCAGGAGACAAGCCTTTTTCTTCTTCAGCATTTGGAGCCCTTTAGGATCACTGCTGCAGATATCACCCACCTCCATTCATCTCTTTGACTGGCCGTCTCTTTCCAGCTGGTTTCTCCAAGTGTTTATAGGTCTGTATATATCTTATCTCTCCACAGACTTTTTGGTTTGCTTTGAGGTTTACTCCAGTGCAACTTTTTTGTCAATACAAGAAAAGAAGCATACATAATCTTTCAACTCTTTCTGCTCATATACATTTTACAATCAATGCCCAACATGGCAAATAACCGCTATGACATTGAGTTCATGTCTTTGAAGGAAATTAGCTAATGAAGAAGCCAGTTTTCTTTAGTAAGCTCTGACTAAATGTAAAAAAAAAAATAAGAGAACATATTTTGTGCTGTTTAGGATATACAAATAGGTGCCATTTACACATCATGCGCTATTTGACATTAGACGAATTAAAGATACAACTGACAGACTAAGTGACACAAAAATCAACAAATAAAAAAAACAAAAATCAAAACTGTACATACATTCTCAAGTATCGGTCCCTTTCAGCTGCTGACACAGATGGCCTCATGGACTTAGCGGCCTCCACCAGGTGGCGGTGAGACACCTCCATCAAAACCGAGGGTTTTGACTCCAGCTGCAGTGAGGTTCTTCGCTTGGCATTGGCTGCTTCAAAAAGAACTTCATCTCTGTGCTGTATTAACCTGACCTGTGACACAGCGAGAACAAAGAAACAGTAACAGCTGACAGATTGCTTGATGACACAAGGAAAGATTCTTGGACCTATCATTTATTTATGATGCCCCAGGTTGGAGGTTGAAGCGTGGGGCTGACATCTCCACCTTTGTTAAACTTCATTTTGTCATTAACTCTTTGAGACGTAAAATCGGCACATCTTGCGTTCATTGGGCTGATAGGTAGAAATCTATGAACGTATGACATTTTTCTTGGGACTCAAAGAGTTAAAGTGTTATCTAAGCCTTGAACCTTGGCGAAAAGATACTGCACAAGTAGACTGACAAAATTTCAGGTCACTAATTGCAAAGAGAAGACCAACCACAGAGATTAATGGAAGTGGGTGATTTTTGCAGCAATGTACCTGAAGGGTTTGGAATGCTGAGAAGAAGAAAGAAGAAAAGGAAGAAGAAGAATAAGAAGGAAAAAGCACAAGGGAGAGAAGAAGCAGAGGCAGAAGAAAAAAAAAAAAGTCCCCTTAAATAAACATCACAGACAAATGCTCATCAAGGCAGATTTTTTAAAATTGACCTAGATTCCAAGGTTTATCTAGCCTAAAATGAACAGGAAATTCCCCTGGAAAGTAAAAATTATCATGTAACCGCCTGAATGCAAAAGAGTTTAATAAGAATAAGGCTTACGCCGTTTAATAATAACAATAATTTTGTTTGAGGAGTAACAAGTAGTCCAACTAATGCAAGGGAAGTAATGATTACACTTATAAAATTCTTATCATAAGCCAAGGGGTGGGTAGTTACATCCCTTGATTGACCATTTATTAACATTTTATGTACCTCTCATGTACAATATTTCGTCCTGCAAGCCTTTTGTTTTTATCGATGTCACATGTTATCCCAATACAAAAGAATGTGGCCATACTTAAACTGTTCATATGTTTGTGTATTTTACATGGTATTTATATCAATAGTAGTAGATTTTTACCCCACCAGGACAATACACAAGCGATAAACACCAGATGTCATAAATTGCCTCGATGTCATTTTACCATGTAAAATACACAAACATATGAACAGTTTAAGTATGGCCACATTCTTTTGTATTGGGATAACATTTGACATCGATTAAAATTGCCACCATGTGGATGAGGATCACCCGTGGAGAGGTCCCAGAAACCGCCTTCAGCCATTAGACCATATTTATGGCCGGACTATATTGAGGCCCCTGGCAAGAGCCAGAGTAGGGCTGCAAATAACGAAAAAAGCATCTCACAAGGAGATGACCGGATTAAGGAAGGTATTTATATTGTTATTTAAAACAGCTAAAGTATTATTACACAGTCCCATTATGGGATGCAATTTTTGATTGTTTTAAAGTCCCACTCTGGCTGTTATTGGGGGGCCCTAATATAACCTAACGTTTAAAAGTGTTTCTAGAACTTATTCTCTTGGCTGGGGTGATTCTAATCCAACTGGTGGCACTTTGTGTCGCCTGTTGTTTATTGCTCGGTGTGTGCACCTGGTGGGGTTGAAGTTGATTCATTCATAAACACACATGGTCTACAGATCAAATACACTTGCTGTTTCAAAGATAAGTGCTTGATGGGCCAAGTGTAAGATGGATCTGTGTCTCTAATTTGTGACCTTTTGAAAATAAACTTAGCTGGCTTGTTCGTTTGTTTTAAAATTTTTAAGTGTTCCTACAGAATTGTATGGAGAACAGAATTAAGTAGGGGAAATAAATGTGACCTTTTTTTTTTTTTCACTACACAAGCAAATCAAATCACTGGACCATCCTTAACTTCAACGGACTGCAGATTATACCAGGCTAAGGTAACCCTTATGGCTGTCCTAATTATCACTTCTCTGGAGGCTGAACAGTCTACCATCCTGACTAAGATTTTTTTTTTTTTTAATCTCAGGGTGGTAAACCTTCAGCCGGGAGTGAAAAAACTGCTAATCATCATCATCATAAACCACCTCTGCCCTTAAGTGTCATGGGAAGGAATAATTTGTGATCTAAGGAACGCTGGTTGCCACTGGCTATTGTCATGCCGTAAAGGCGTAGAGTGTCTTTAATGTTGTCGATCCATTTTTTCCGCGGCTGTCCTCTTGCTCTTGCAGTTGATCTTCTGAGATGTAATGCTTGTGATGGTATTTGAACTTGCAGCATTCTAACAAGATGGCCAAACCACTTGATCTGCTGTTTTTCAATGAATCTAGTACAAGGTGTCGTTCCCCAAAATTTGCCTGATAGTTTCATTATTCACTCAATCTCGGATGGTTAGGTTGGCTGCTTTTCTGAGGTATCTCATCTTGCAGGTGGTGATTTCCTCTCATCTCGCAGGTGGTGATTTTACTTTAGTTAGTGTACATGTCTGGCACTGGTAGCTTAATGTTGGAATGAATATGCTGTTAATAATCTGAATGTTTGCACTCATAGTTATGCTTGGATGTCTAAATAATGGTGACAATTGATTGATTGATCAACTAACTGGACAAATGTTGCCACTACTGCAGAACTAACATTTAACAACTGATAACAAAAGAGAACTGTTCAATAAAGTATTTTTCTCAAGACTGCTAGCAGTACCCAAACATGGACATTAACAACAAAAGAGAACAGACCCGCGAGCCACTTCCTAGGCCTCGGCAGGCCAGATTTGTGTCTGCGGGCTGCCAGTTGGATAGCCCTACTACAAAAGAATAAATCCATAGCTCCAGTGACGACCTCCAGGATCTCAATTAAAAACTGGCCTTATTAACTGAATGGTGCGTTTGTGAAATGAACCTATGACACTCAGAGCATGAGGAAAATGGCTTGAACATTTTACCGTGGAGACCCCTATTTAGATGCTAAACCATATTTTCACTGCATTTTCATTGTTCCGAGGAGCACACCAAAGGACATCCCTCCCTATCCCTGTCTAAACTGATAGACATGGGGGTGCAACCTGGAGCTGCAAGAAAGGAACCTTTCTCTAAGGGGACAAGACGTTTCATGAACCAGCACAGAACAGGCATCATCAGTTGTTTTACACTTGTGGAGCTTTTAAGGAGGAAATCGGAGCACCTATGAATCTGTCTACAAGATGACCCCTATTTTCTTTTAGCCCCAAAATTAGAAAATAAATATTTTAACCACATTCTGTGTATAAGATGACCCTCAATTGTAAACTTTAAAATAATGTGAGAAAACATATTGTCCTATACAGAGAAAAATATGGTACATCTCTCCAGTTCATGGATCATGTTCAATCAATCAGGTGCCGTCTCCACAATGAAGGTTGGCTGATTGGATCTCCAACAAGCCCTGTCTCTTGCCCTTGATGTACACTCACTCATACTGCTGTTCGTCCATCTCTTGATGTTATCCTCCCACTTGTAACGCTGTCTGCCTCTTGCTTGCCTACCTTGAACCTTTCCCTCTAGGATGATCTTTACAATACTGTTATGTCTTTTAATGTTACAGTAAAACAAACATTAGTCTTCTCATCTTCTTTTTTAAATTTTTTTTAACCAACGTGGTGGTGTGAATTGTAGATTCAGAAAATGGCGCGATGCCAGTTGTCGCAATATTGGTGGTGCCATTATGTGTTAAAATTGATCGTGTGCAACTGCTGATCTGTTGTTGGTTCCTGCAAGTCACTAGTGCTACCATCTATGATGAACTTCATTTCTTATGTCGGACTGTTTGTGCTAGGACTACGGATGGCTATAGTATGCTTTTAATGCGTGTGTATACTAGTCCATATGCTGAGACAGCAGTCTGTTAATCTTTTCACAAGGGACTGTGATATATATACATTTTGTGTGTTTTTTGTTGGCACAGGAGCGGAGCAACTATGGGGTGACCCGTTTGCTATGAAGCTGAAACTAAGATTACTAGATTACCAGATTACCAGTCTTCCCATGTACAAAGTGTTACACACTAGCTAACTTCTGATTAGCGACCTTCAGCCTAGCTCACTTCTGATTGGTTGATCTTGAGCCACGCTCCTTTCCCCAAGGTTACGAGGGTTTACCACAATGCAGTTGATATCGCGTGCTGTATATATCAGCACGCCAGCACTTTTAACACTCCAAAAACATCGACAAACTGGGTCTAACACAAAACCCCTTTAGAGAGTGATGAAACCTATGTCACAAGCATTCTCTTTCTCAGAATAAAAACAAAAATGCTAGACAACCCAGAAAGCAAACAACAGAGCGGCACACCCATAACCTCCAGCAATATAGACCAGCCCAAAAAACTTATGAATGGAATGTGACCTGCTTTATTTGGGGAGACTAATGTTTGTATAACCCGTGTGACAACACTTACCATAGCAAGGTACCTGGCCTCATCTTCAACAGTTAACGTAGCCAAGCCTCTTTCCAGTGAAGTAAATACAGTGACTGGCTTCTCCACAGATGGCGACAGGACGTCAGTAGCAGGTTTTTTGCTCACTTTTTTGATGATCGAGCTTTTCTGATTTCCTGGCAGGCAAGATCAGATTTGTTTTTGATAAAAGAGGATGCCCCGTGTGGGTTCTGGGGGCCCCATTTTGGGAGGGGAAAAATAACAGACCCACTGCTTCCCTAACAAGCATGCTGTACATGACGACTTATTAGGGGAGTTTTCTCCAAAGTCTGACTGTATCTGCCTGAGAGGGCAGGAACCAGCAGTCTGCATACAAATAAACCGAATGTCAAAAATGCATGTGCAGGCAAAACTCAAGTTCTGGAACAAAACTAAAGTTCAAATAAGGAAGAACAATCAGAATATTCCACCAGAGTTTACAGCTGGTGAGCACTGACAAGAAGAAGAAGAGGAAGAAGAAGAAGAAAATAAAATAGGACAATTACCCGCATAAGAGGTGTGTTACACCCAGCTGATCTAGCCATTACGGATGCTTCAATTTAGAATGGGGTATCTAGGATGAGAATACCCTGGATAGATAAAGTGAGGAAGGAAGATATCTTGAAAGAAACTGACTCATAAGAGGACTGACAGCCCACATCAGAAGGAGAGAATCTACATTTTTTGGTCATGTCAGGAGAAGGAGAAAAATGATGGGAAAGTTGGAGGGGTTAAAGATTAAAGTAAAGTTACGGTCAAGAGGATCGACTTCTTAACCTGACTCAATGCTGCTGACCCTAATTTTCGGCAACTTGCGTAGTACGTGAAAAAGATGCGTCGCAGACTAAAAATAACTAGCCAATTGTCATCAGACCTCGCGGATAAACTTTCTAGATGTGCGCCCACATGTGTTTGGATAAAATTTGTTGTTTCACGTGAAAAAATTCTAAAAATTCACAATAAAACGAGCGGTTGATGAACCAAGCACTTCAACAGGAAAGGGATTTTCAGTCCAACAGGTGATCGATACTTTGGTTTATTCAGACCCTGTGGAGAATTCGTTCACAGTTGAAGTGAGGGAGCTCGAATAATGAGGAGAATCTTGAAAATTATAAATCTAGAAATAGATCGATAGGAGGAGAAGGGGGCGTGTCCCTCAAACAACAACATCTGGTATTCTCTTTGTGAAACAATCCTGATCCTCCTGAGTGGATTGGCAAACAAAGGTGGAATATTGGTGCTAGATGAAAGGTTAACCTATTTTCTACAATGTCTCCAAGTTTCAACTTATTCTAAACACTTGTTTGCAGGTAAATAATATTTGTGTATTTCATATTGGTTTTTTTTGCGTCAATGCCCAGGAGCTCAGGTATAGGGGGCAGTTAGGTTCAGGGCCTCAGGTCTGGTAGGGTTAATGTTACTGCCACTTACTGTGATGTTCAGAACCTCAACCCAAATAATACTATTATATAATAAACACCACAATACTGCTGCTTTATGTGTGGTTGATTAAGGAACCTATTACCTCACATCATTTCCCTACCTTGTCTATCATGGTCTGCAGTTTCCTAGATATTTCTATTCTATTTTCTCCTCTGTATGTAGACTAAGACATTGTCCACAAAAGTCAAATTTTCATAATATCCACTGCCTTCATTTCCGAAACACAACTGTGTAATCAAGTTTTTGCACAGTATTTCTCCCATTGAGTGCTGACTGTTCTTTCATACTATGTCTTGCACCACATACAAAGCACCAATGGTAAGAAAAGGGTTCGTTATTTTTCTTCTTCACGTTCACTGTCTGTAAACTCTGACGGAAAGTTCTGGTTGTTCGCCCACCTCTGGACTTTGGTCTTGTTCCAGGACCTGAGTGTTGCGTGCATATTCATTGTACAGACTTATCTGTATGTAGCATGCATATTCATTGTACAGACTTATCTGTATGTAGCATGCATATTCATTGTACAGACTTATCTGTTTGTAGCATGCATATTCATTGTACAGACTTATCTGTATGTAGCATGCATATTCATTGTACAGACTTATCTGTATGTAGCATGCATATTCATTGTACAGACTTATCTGTATGTAGCATGCATATTCATTGTACAGACTTATCTGTATGTAGCATGCATATTCATTGTACAGACTTATCTGTATGTAGCATGCATATTCATTGTACAGACTTATCTGTTTGTAGATTTTTGGTTCCTTGCCTCTTAGGCAGATACGCTCTGACTACAAAGGAAGCCCTCATTAAGCCGACTCTTACGACATACTTGTTGGGGAGGCAGTAGGTCTATGCTTGTTTTCCCCACAACAAGATCCTGGAACCCATACTGGGTAGAAGAGTCTTTAATTTTATATGCATATTTAAAAGACGACACAGTAATAACAACATACCTTGCATCTCTGCCCGTTCGTAACTCCTCCTTTTTCTGTAACTTGGGGGACTGTACCTTCTGTGTGGGTTTGGAGAACCATCATATCTATTCATTTCAGATTCTGCAGTTTCTTTACCATCTACATGATCTGCATCAGTATTAACTTCACCAGCTGACACATAATCTCCTTGTGCTACTGCTACAGGTTTGACAATAGCTTCTGGAACGTCTGCAGAAGACAGGACTGAATGGCCTGCTTCCTGGCTATCCTTTTCCTGTTCTTGCTTTTGCCCATCACTTACGACCTTACTCGAGGTGGAATGTTCTGTGTCATCTTCCTGAATGTAATGATTGTCAGAAATGTTCACTGCTGCAGGTGCTGACATTATCTTTGTCCGTGCTGATGGCAACAGTTCTGGTGAGCTGTTGCTTTTCTCTAGTGTCAATGAAGAAATCCTTTTAACTTTATTATTAATCACATGAAATTCTTTCCCCCCATCAAACAAGGCACTGGTGTCTGATTTAACTTTATCTCCTGAACCTAACTCGACATCAGGATACTGAAATATATTTTCTGAAAGTTCCTTATTGTTATTAGAACTCTTGTCTTTGAAAACAATGTCCAATCCATCAGCTACATCTGCATCACATTCCTGTGGTACACAAGGGCTTCTTCTTGCACTGTGGTAGCAGCAGTTTCTCATGATCAGAGGAGACTGATGCCCTGAGGACTGACCTGTGTGCTTCGGTGAATTCTCTCCTAATAATAATGGTGACCTTCCTCCTGAGCTAGTTTCAGAAAAGGATTTAGAAAGGCTGAGTTTGATTGCCCCTGCTTCATTTCGAACTACCGATGCTCGTCGAGTAGCACACTGGTTGCTATCACCTTTGATCCATAGAATACTTTCATTCATGCTCTGGTTGCTGTCCGTCTGCTCGTGGATTACCTTGAGCTGGGCGTTGTAGAGCAGAGCCTTCAAGTCTGCACCGGTGAAGTGCTCACAGACGGCAGCAATCTCTTTTAAGTTGACATCGGCGGCAAGACACATCTTGTGAGTGAGTGCTTCTAAAATAGCGCACCGCTCATCCTAAAGAAACAAACAGTTTTAGTCCAGCATTGACACAAATAAGCATTGTTTTTATGACAAAAATTACCCACATCTTCTTTTCAGTCTTCTCCAGCTGTAATTTTCAGGAAATTCTGGTTATTCATCCATTTCTGAATTTCAGAAACATGATTTTTGCAGCATGCATATCCGTTTCACAGATCTGGCTTATTTGTTTGTATGCAGCCTGTCGGTTATTGTTACTAATTTTTTAAAATTTTTTTACTCAAAAATTATAATAATGACATCAATTTTAGAAATATTATATATTTTCAGTACAAATGAAAGGTTTCCAGGAAAAAAGTTGTGCAATCTAATATTTTATTACAATTTATTTACGTGCCTCTTGTTAGGGTTAGTTTAACCTTTGGTGTGCTAGTAGAGTGATTTACTGTCTCACAAAATTAAGTTTGTCGAACAATTGAATGTTGAATGTTGAATTAAGAATCAACATCATAACCTCCGGACCACTCCTATAAGCGCTCCGTCCCCCATCTTCAGCGGCAAGCGCCCCCGTGTGGGTTCCGGGGCCCCATTTTCGGGAAAACAAGAATAGACCCACTGCCTCCCCAAAAGCATGTCATAAGAGTCGACTAATTGGGGAGCTTCCTTTGAAGTCAGAGTGCATCTGCCGGAGAGGCAAGGAACCAACAGTCTGTATTCAAAAGAATGAGATCTGTAAAACTGATGCACATGCAACACTCAGGTTCTGGAACAGGACTGCAGTTCAGTAGTGGACGAGCAACCAGAACTTTCCGCCAGAGTATACAGCTGGTGAACGCGAAGAAGAAGCAGCAAGCGAAGAGTTCCAATTCCGAAGGTACCAGTAATTGTCTCATTGTTTATCCGTCTCACCTTTAACTTGAAGCTTAGGCGTCAACCAAATCTCCTAGTAACTCTCCCCAGCACTTATCTCCTCAGACCATTTCTCTGAAGTCAGTGTGCATGCGCCTGAAAGGTGAGGAACCAACAGTCTGCATAAAGGCAAGCCAGATCTGTAAATGGAGGTGCAACCAAAACCCAAGTTTTGGAAAAACACTGAAGTACAGAAGGAGATAAATTAACAAACAAAACTTTCTGCTGGAGGTTACAGGCAGTAAAAACTCAACTCTTTTAGTCCCACAGGGTTTGGCATCAGAGGCCCAATAGATAGTAAAGAGAGACATAAAATCCCCCCACCTTAGGTTCACTCAGCTTCTAGGTAGGAACCTATGAAATATATGATGAGTTCCTTGGGACTTAAGAGTTAAAAAGAAGCAATAATGGGGAAACATAAAATACACTAAATAATTTAACTCTTTGAGTCCCAAGGAACGCATCACGCGCTAATTTGTTACTACCTGGCGGCCCAGTCAGCGCATGACGTGTGACGGTTTTTAATTTACCACTTATCGGTAACTACACGCGAACCGCTCAGTTTAAACTTCCTTTCCGGTTCTCAAGTGTATATTGTAGTGAACACACGTGGAGTGCATTCGTTTGGGTCTGGTGAGTTTTTAACGCTTTAAATCGATATTTGTGTGGTCTACTACATTACCAAACAATTGTCTGAAAACAAAATGTCCGATCAGTCATCATCTTCATGCCCAGCAAAGGGATTTACTGCTTTAGAAGCATCAAATTTGATAAAACAGTGGATCGATCAAAGTAATGTGGAGTTGGATAATGATAGTAGCGACGTGGAATTTCCCCAAACTGTTGACGAGTCAAGTTTTGATGAGGATGTGTGCGTAATTTACCTTCTGCTAATAGGACAAAACTGACTAATTCTGCCATGGCAACACAAAAGAAGCACCTCGTAACGCGACACCAGCTAGTCCACATGTCAGCGTTTCTAGTACTACTATCCATATCATCTAAATCCATAGATTTATATCTATGAACAGTTTGACATGTTTACAGTGCCTTTACAGTTTTTTCTATGTGAGGAATTCAATTGTTTTTAGAAAAAAGTCCCTGTTTGTGCCACTGGAGAATATATTTTGACATGTTATGGTAGTGTTATTAAAATTGCTATGGAACAACAGCTATTGCACATTTTGCTTTAATATTGGCTGTGCATACTTACAAGTGGTGTACCTTCCTTTGTGATGCATTTTGGATATACTATATCAAGAATTTTGGGATCAGCTTCTGGGTAAGTGGAAAAAACTTGTTCATAATTTACTCACCTCTCAAACTAAGTCACTGTTTTCTCTACTAAATACTAACTAACGGTATAATTGTTTGTTGTAGCAGTATGCTAATATTAATCCTTATCTATATATGTTTATTTTCATGTATGATCTGTGTATGTTGGACATCAGCTGCAGTTGTGTGGTTTGTTTTAAAGTGCTGCATTTGTTAACAGTCTAAATCATATTACCCCCCCCCCCCCCCCCCCTCCCCCCCCCCCCCCCTCTTGGGCCTCTGATGCAAAACCTCCCTGGGACTCAAAGAATTCATGTCTGGTATGATAGCCTTTTATGACATGCTTGATATTGGGCCCAGTGAATCTGTTCTTTTTTTATTTATTAATTTTTTTAATTATTTTTTTTTACTCCTAAAATGGGGTTCCTGGAATCCACATGGGGAGTTCAATACAACCCACTCTAAGTGGAAGAAGAAGATGATGAAAAACAAGGAGAATAAGAATAAGAAGAACCTTACCTCATCTGGCATTGAGCAGTTCAAACATATATCCAGCCGTCCTGGTCTCAGCAGTGCTGGGTCAATAAGGTCAGGGCGACTTGTGGCCGCTAACACATACACTCCTTCAAGATTCAGATTTTAAAATAACACAGAATTAAATTAGGCTTGGCAGGCAAGAAGTTAAATTTCAACTCATAGTTATTGGATATTAAGGTGTCCATTTAGTGACAAGCTAGATGTTGTGAGGGCCCTTTTGGGAGCAAGTGAACAATGCAGAGGCACAAACAGATCATTACGGTTTGAGGAGAATGACGCTGCAGGAAGTTACCAGTGGATCTGGCCGAAGTTCAACACTCTAGGGAAGGGCGAGATGGATGTACAATTAGACAGTTACTGGTACCATCGGAATTGGAACTCTTTTCTTGCTGTTGAAGATGGGAGACGGAGCACTTATGGAAGTGTCCCAAGTGTTGTGATGTTGATTTTTAATTCAAAATTCATTTAGTGAAGTCTCTGAGATTGCAAGATCAGGTTTTAACTCTGTTAAAATCTGGGAATTTCTATAAATGAACTGGGTTGTGTTTTCAAAATGGATATTGGCTGCTATGAAAAACTGTCTGTTTCTGGTCCGTAGCTAGACTCATACAGACAATTTGCTTTACAGGATGAGGGCTGGGTGTGGGGTAAGCTCCCCTACCCTGTTTAAAGTTGTTTTTTTTCTTTTTGGGTGCTTTTTTCTTCTACAGAAACTTGCAGGAGACATTCCTGACAAAAATATCGAACATAAAATGGGATGCATTTAGGAGAGGTGAAGAAATAAGAATGGACAATCAATAATAACAAAGAAGATGGCACTATACTGAACACTTTCAGAATGAAACCCTAAAATAAACGTTGATGAGAGGCTAAAGGTGCTGGGTTGAATTTCATCCACTGTATTGAACTGACTACATAGGACAAAACAGAATGGCGGAATAGACTGCAAGCCTTATGTGACATTTAACAGCACAACAAGACAATGATGATAATGAGGATGGTGTGCTCTAGCAAGGATTTTAAAAAATTTGGTCATAATTTGTGTGTGCGATTTTTGTTGTTTTATTCTCTAAAACTTTTTTGTTTTTTAATCTGAATTTGTAGGATATTCTACTTGCATTTGCTTTTATTTGCACCTGCAAACCTATAACTACATAACCTGTGTCTGAATTTCTCACTGCTTGTTCACAGTCCATGTGTTGCAAGCAGCTGTGTTGAAACTGTACAGCTTGTGACCATCTTCAGTTCTACTGGTTATCTCCATACCATACAAGGCATTCACTAACCAACAGAGGAGAAGGGCACAAATCACCAGGCAGACCAAGAACAAAATCTTCTTCTTCTTCTTCTTTGCGTTCACCAGCTGTAAACTCTGGTCAAAAGTTCTGGTTGATCATCCACTTCTGGACTGCAGTCCTGTTCCAGAACATGAGTGTTGTGTGTACATCCGTTTGACAGATCTGACTCATTTGTATGCCGACTGCTGGTTCCTTGCCTCTCAGGCAGATGCACTCCGACTCTGAAGCTCTAAATTAGTCGACTCCTACGACATGCTTTTGGGTAGGCAGTGGGTCTATTCTTGTTTTCCCTATAACAGGGCCCCGGAACACACACAGGGAAAAGAAAAAAATGAAAAATAACATCAGAGAAACTCTACAAGAGCACAATATTTCTATAGTGGAGGAAGCCAGAAGAGCATGAAGTAGAATCTTAAACAATGCAGACCGCTGAAGGCAATCTCAGATGAGACAAATTTCTGTTGTGCAGAACAATATTTTTATCCCCGGCAATTTTTCTTGCTTGAATTCTTATCCGAAGAAGAGGAATTTCTGACAAGAAGAACGATTTCTTGGGTCCCCGGTGACTTCTCCTTACCAGATCTGCACAGTATCTCTCTGGACACCCGAATTGGTAAAAGAGCAAGTGAAGAAGACAGTTTATCTCTGGGGATGTTAATGCCTTTCATGTTATTTATCAAACTGCCTGCATTTATGTGCAATTAAAATTTTTTTTTTTAAATTAATGAGTATATGAAACTGATCACAGAATTAGAACGGGTAGGGAAAGATGGGGGAAAAAAGAGAGAGATGTATGAAGTGGAAGAGGCAAAGATGAAGACACACATAAGAATACTGAAAAGTGACACATTCTAAGCCACACCTCATCAAAACCTACCTTGTAAACCTTCCACTCCATCAAGCTGAGTTAACAACTGGTTCACCACTCGGTCAGTTACACCAGTACTGTCATGACCTCGCCTGAAACACAAGACAAACTGAGAGACTCATAAAGCCAGCCATTATCTCAAACAATAATCCATTCTTCAAAGTCAGAGTGCATCTGTCTGACAGGCAAGATACAAGTAAATTAGATTCATAAAACGGATGTGCAAACAAAACTCAAGTCCTCGAATGACACTCAAGCCCAGAAGTGGCCAAGAAACAAAAACTTTCTGCTGGAGATTACAGCTGGGTAACGCTAAGAAGAAGAAACAATATCCTAATGAAATTGTAACTTTAACTCGTTCAGTACCAGCTTGTATTCACCATGTGGTTAAATTCTAGTTTTTAAAAAAATCCTATGTTTAAGCCCAACGATACTTACACACAGTGGGACGCAAAGAGTTTAATGTAATGGCCCCTGAGACAGCTGAACTGATAAGACAAGTTTCTGAGGATCACTGTTTAACAAATTTAACACCAAATTCATCTGCTATTCTCCTTACAGTCAGACATCGATCTGTAGGTATAATTATATAGTAAAACATTCACACATTCATATTTTACACAACACATTTGTTTGGTACAATACTTACTTTGGAGCAATAGAATCAAATTCATCAAAGAACAGAATGCACGGTTTTGCACTCTGTGCCCTGGAAAAAAAAACGGAAAAAAAAACAGCTTTAAATGCTTATTTTTATGAATAGCAGAGCCAAAGACATCAAGAAATCATTTTAAATGACTGAGAAATAAGGCCTTAAATACACTTTATTTGGAAATCAAGGGGAAACTACTACAATATTATCCCAAGAAACTCAATATGGAAGCCTGAATATCAAGGGTGATTGGCTAATAAACAGCACCTTCTCTCAGAAGCTGAAATTTTTTGGTCATATAAAGCGCCATGGCAGATTGGAAAAAAAAATTATAGCAGAAGGCATAGTACCAGGAAGGAGGGGAAGGGGCCGACCAACATGAAGATGGGCACAGGATATAAGCGACTCCTTGAAAGTGAAAGCACACATGGCAGGAGAAGTGGTGGAGACCGAGTTTCTTGCAGGCAGACCGTGATGAGAGGGACGTTCTGCAAAAGGATCTGCTACATGATGATGATAATACACTTTATAATGCTGATATTCATCTCCCTCTTCTTCTCTGGTCCTGTCTTGCCTTTCAGAGTCAGGCTTTCAAAAGGCATCAGGTGAGAGCCCAGGTATGTGCTACCTAGGTGCTGGCCTTTATGGCCTGGACTATTTCATCTTTAATCGCTTGCTGATATTCTACAAGTTTTAAAAAGATTTAAATGATCGTTTTGTTCCCCCCTGAAACGCTACCTGAAGATTTCACACCCTGAGATGAAAAATAATCTTAATCGGGATGGCAGATAAACAGAGCACTTCCCATATACCCCATTCAACCTCCAAAGAAGATATATTTATAGTACTCATAATGGCTATACAGAGCCTGGTATAACCTGCAGGCCTATGTATGTAAGTATGGTTTAAAATGGGAACTAGTTATTAAAATATAGCTAAACAGTTTGCAATTAGAGTGAAGCACTATTTCAGATTTGCCCAGAAAAAGGAGAAGATGCAGAAGGGGGAGGGAAAAGATGAGAAGGAGGAGAAAGAAGTGGAAGAATGAGAAAGAGGCAGGAGAAGCCAAAGAGGGGAGGAGCAGAAGTAACCATATTTTGAGGTTTAAAAACTGGGGGTTGTCTTATACAAAAGTTAAAAGCTGGGGGTTGTCTTATTCAAATGTGTAAAAACTGGGAGTTGTCTTATATAAACGATGTATTTTACAATATATATTTCTTTATTATGAGATTTATACCGGGGGGGGGGGGGGGGGGGGGGGAATCTCATACATGAAAACATATGGTTAATTTTTTCAAACTAAGAAAGTTTATCAGCAGACAACAACAACAACAACACAAAACAATAAACTTAGCGCAACACCATCAGCTCCATCATCTTTCTGCTGTGTTTTGTTTACTGTTGTGATCTGATGATGTAGGCTTGTCAGCACAACATTCTTTCTATGTTTATTGTTCTGTCTAATCCCTTGTGTGTGTGTGTGTGTGTTTGTGTGTGTGTGTGTGTGTTCTTTTTTTCAATTTTGTTTTTATATATATATCACATATAAACAATAAAATGTGAGCTGTTGTGACATAAAATACACATACAAAAAGCAGAGAGAAATAAGTACAATGGAACCTCAGGATATGAGTGTATGTGGATCTGAGTTTTTCAAAATATGAGATCAGGCTCGCCATTTTAATTTTTTTTTTTTACCCCAGAATACGAGGTGAAAACCTCAATGCAACCTGGAGAGGAAAAAACCAGGAAGATAAAATTTAAGTGCACTGTATAAGTTATTACAAAACTATTCCCTCTGCTTAGCCATCGTCGCTTGACCTCCTTAGTAAGTTTTTCATGCTTCTTTATGTACATTATGAGATTATTTATTCAAATTGAGGTTCAGTACTTTAGTTTTAACTCTTTGAGTCCCATGTGGCTCAGCATCAGAAGCCCAATGAGTAGTCAAGAGAAACGTAAAATCGGCGCATCTTGGGGTTCTGGGTAAGAACCTATAAATGTATGATGCGATCCTTGGCACTAAAAGAGTTAAACAATAATTATAGTATACAATGCAGTTAATATGATAAAAAAGGTAACTAACAATGTGATTTTTGGAGGGCTGGATGAATTACAATTATTTACATAAATTTGAATGGAAAAATTAATTTCAGAATACAAGTTATTCAACACATGAGCTCAATCATGAAATAAATTAATTTGTTGTATCATGAGGTTCCACTGTACATGACAGTACAAACAGCACACAGAAGGAAGTGGATAGCCACCATGTGACAATTTAGAGCCAACATAGGAGAAGAAACATCAGAAAAATAAAAATACAAAACAAGAACAGACATACTTTGTGAATAGATCTCTAACTGCTTGCTCACTGGCTCCAATGTACTTGTTCAACACTTCAGGACCCTGAGCAACAACACAAAATATCTTATCACTAAAACTTCCCCGTGTGGGTTCTGGGATCTCATTGACATGAAAACAAGAACAGACCCACTGCCTACCTAAAAGCATGTTGTAAGAGTCAACTAACTGGGAGCTTCCTTCAAAGTCAGACTGCATCTGCCTGAGAGGCAAGCACCAATAATATGCAGACAAATAAGTCACATCTGTAAGATGTGCACGCAAAACTCAGGTTCAGAACAAGACTAAAGTCCGGAGCTGGACAAACAACCATAACTTTCCGCCGGAGTTTAGAGCCGTAAACGCCAAGAAGAAAAAGATAAAAAAATTCCCTGTGTGGGTTCCAGGCCTCATTGTGGGGGGGGAGGGTTTAGACCAACTTTTCCAGTGTTCACGCATGTGTCAGAGATTCAACTGGCCAGACAGAAATGTGGATTTCTGAGATACTTCAGCTGAGTGATTTTATGCATTCTTGTCCATATCTCCATTCATGCAATATGCTCATAAAAGGTTTTTAGCTGCACCGTTCCCTAATAATTAATATCTGTTATAATGTGAAGCTCATTAGTTCGACTTTTCATTTGGTCTGATATCTTTTCATGATAATTTTAACCTGGTAAACTGCTCAAGATTTTACTGGATCTAAAATATGATGCTCTATTCCTTCTGACATTATTCTTGAAAAAACAATACATGGAACTCATCATTACATTAAAAACAAATTCATGTCTGCATTTACATACCCAAATACTCTCTCCCTCTTTCACCTTCTCCTCCTCTCCGCTTTCTCTCTCATATGTAAATGTAAGTTAGTGAGGAGTGAGTGCACGAGTGGGTTGGCATGTGTGTGCTCATGCATTTTACCATCTACACTTTTGTGATTTTTCTTGATATTCATAATATGCATAATGTTATATGAATATAGCATGCTTTACAGACAAAAATGCAACTGCTGTGTGAAAGATTGGTGTTTGGGATAGCCGCGCGGGGGGTGGGGGTGAGTGAGTGCGGATGTGGGTGGGTGGGTGTATGTGAGTGAGTGGGCACGACTGTGTGCATGCATTTTACTACCCATGCTTTTGTGTTTTTTCTTGCTATTTATATGCACATTATTATATGATCATAACATGCTTTTTTGACAAAATACAACTGCTGTGTGAAAAATGGGTGTTTGGAAGGGCAGAATGTAGGATGGGCCAGCATGCCCAATTTTTGACCCTTAAAAAATAAAAATTGTTTGTACGTTCATTCTCTAGGTTATCAAGAAACTAACCTTGACACTGATGAAGTTCAACCCACACTCCTTGGCCACAACCCCAGCCAAAAGTGTTTTGCCTGTGCCTGGAGCACCATACAACAAGATCCCTGACCTCAGACGCAAGGGGCAGGAGCTGAACAACTGTGGGTACTGCAAGCAAGGTGATATTCACAAGATTACATTGCTGAAGGGAAAAACCTGGCCCCAGCAGGGGCCCTAGAACCGACACAGGGAAGTATTTATTCTAGATTGGGTATGTTAATTAGCTGCAGCTAGTCATTTTTTTTCTTCTTCCTCGTTCCTTCTTTTTCCTTCCTCTGCCTTTTTCCTTCCTCCTCTTTCTTCCTTACTCTTCTTCTTTCTTCTTCCTCCTTTTTGCCTTCCTCCTCCTCCTTCCTTCCTCCTCCTCCTCCTTCCTCCTCTTTCCTTTTTCCTGCTCTTTCTTTCTCCTCCTTCCTACTCCTCCTTCCTTCTCCCTTCTTCCTCCTCCCCCTCCTCCTTCTTCTTCTTCTTTTTCTTGTGATCATTCTCTGATTTACACAGACAGCCAAGGTCTTGAGATAAAACAGAATGTTTTTTGCAGTTTCCTTTTAAGTTGCTTTAAACTGCGAGTATGACATTGACTTATTTGGCTAATATTCCCTTCTTAATGGGCTGTAAAAAGGACAGTCTTGAAGGACATGTTCTGCAGTGTGCACACTCAGCCCACATGGGCCAATGGTGAATTACTTAGATGAAGCTTATGTATATGGTTGCTAAGTTTGTTATGCCTTGTCCTGAGGTGTAGAACAATGACCTATCTATGCTGGTCAAGGAAGTGACAGTCATCAGTGGCCAGATTATGTTCCTTTCTAATAAAGCTGTTAAGCAGAGTCAAGTAAAGGAGAATAAACACGTGAGTGGCACGTGTTGCACATAACACCATCCTCAAAATTTTTAACAGATCAATTGCCAGTGAAAAGTTGATGAGGTCAACATCATGTCAGCAACCTTTACATCCCAAGTCATTTCCTGGTACCCATTTTAGGTCGGCTCAACCTTGGGGGGTCACAGTCAATATTTAACATTCTGCCCTGGTGCAGTTTCGAACCCGACATCCTCAGGCCAGTAGGCAAGCGTCTCTTAATTGTTGCTATGACACTTATTTGTTTAACTTTGTCAGACCAAAACAATGCACCAAGGGTAAAGGATATTATTTGCATGCATCAGTCAACATGTTTTGTGTATCTGTACATCTCAAGTTTAGCCAGGAAACTAAATTCGTCAAGCAACACATGACAGGCACCTTTCCGTCTTTCCAGATGATAGTGTTATATTGCGCTATGAGGAGGCATGAGACAACCCATGGCGATGGCGAGTGTGACTAGCAAGACTCGCCCGTGTCAAGAAAAGTCTTCCACAATGATAGCATGGGATTTCAGGACCAATGTTGTCAACATCTGTGTTTAAACCGTTTATTTTCAGACGCTCTGCTCTCATCCTTTCTGCAATCATTTCTTCCTTCAGTCTCATTCCCTTCCTGATATGCCCTTTTCACACAACACGGTCCATGGCATTTGGTTCCCATGAGTCCACCTCAATATTTGTATCATTCATGTCCTGCTTGCACACATCTTTATACCGTAGTAGAGGTCGGCCAACAACACAAATTACCCACATTGTACCATGTGTTGGGGGGCTGCGTGGTCTCAAGGCATGGATTCTATCTGGAGTGCTAGAGGTTCCGGGTTCTATCCCCGGTAAGGGCTGGGATTTTTTCACGTGAACTTGGACTTCAAGCAATTCCCCCTGGTCTCTGGGTAGTGAGATCAGATGCCCCTGTGCATTACTGCACACCTTTAAAAAAAATCCTTTGGCAATTGGATATCGAAAAGAGTAGCCTAACGGCGCTGCCCAGGCAAAATTTAGAGTAAAAAATCTGCCCAAAGTATTTCAGGATGCTTGCTGGTGCTACAGAGCTTGTGCACAGTCAGATTCAGACTTGAGATAGAAGAAGAACGGAGCACTTATGGGTTACAACCTTGCAGCATGATGTTGATCCATTGTTCAAAACCTTAAAACCATTGTGCCATGTGTTGTGACTCCCATGCGTTCTTACTGCACAATGGAACATTTTTGTCTGAAAAGATGACAACATTCTTCTTCTTCTTCTTTAGCATTCCAAGCTCTTGCAGTTCACTGCTGCAGATATTACTCGCCTCTCTTCAACTCTCTGGTTGGCCTTCTCTTTCCAGCTGTGATACCGTTTTCTCCATTTTCTTTTCGGTCCACCTTATGGTCTGTGACTATTCAGCTCCCTGGTGTACACAGTTTTAGGTCAACCTGGGCCCTAAGGAAAGATGACGCAAATTTTGTTATATTTAATCTCATATCAATATAAACAAGACACAGTGTCCGAGTACCTTTGTGGGCCATTTCAATGTTTCCATTAGAACCTTTTTGACACTGCTTAACCCACCCACATTCTGCCAGCCCAAGTCTCCAGCCTTGTGCAGTGGAACATTCCGGACTGATACAGGCTTGAAAGTTGAGAGAGTCTCCTCAAAGTCCTCAACAGTCAGGGTAAACTTGCTAGAGAAACCTGGCAGTCCATAAACAAGGTGTTAATTTCAAACTTTTGTATATATAATAAACAAACAGATTTGTACTGATTGGCACTCACAAAAAGAAGTAGAAAGACAGAAGAATAAATTTCAGTTTTTAATAGTTGTAAATTCAAGCTGTACTACACATATGGCTAATGAAGGCACCTTTTTTAAGGGGTACCTGGCTGGTCTTGTGTCTCAGCACACTTGTTTTGCAGTGGGCGCTGTTGTAATCTGAAAGTGATAGGTTCGATTCCCAGCATGGCAACTACAGCTTGTTACTTTTATGTTGTCCAGTGAGTTCTATCTCTCTTTCTATGAGTCTCAGTCAATACATGTCTGTCTACTTTTTTTTTAAATAGTTTATAATTTGTCTACATCCTCAAGGGTTCCACATCTGTTTATTTCTGTGTAATTTAAAACAAAAAGCAAGCAAATGTAAAACAGAACTTAAAGTATATTCATTATACTAGCAAACATAGTAAGTAAAGTACAGATTTGTGATTTGAAAGGATAATCATCACAGCACTCCGGACAGATCCATAGGTGCTCCAAACTCCTCCTCAAAAGCTCCATAAGTGTAAAACGACTGTTAATGCCTATTCTGTGTTGGTTAATGAAACGTCTTGTCCCCTTAGACATGTAAATGATAACGATGATGAAAGAAAACATGGGCTTTTGAACTTAAATGTTGAAGAAAAATTCTCTGAATATGTTTCTGTTGTGACTGTGAGGCTGGATACGATACAGCCCAGTATAAATCAAAGACTTAGCCCTAGTATTAAATAATAAATGACTCTGTGTTAACTTCTCTTTATATATTCAGTGTACTATGAGGACAGTCCGAATATATTCATTTTGATATCTCCTCAGTGAACATGACAGCCTGAAGGTTTTGGAGGCAGCGCACCAGCATCATTGCATCACTGCTGAGAATGGAAGAACTGGGAGTCAAGCCTGACACACACACAGGCATGACAGGCACACCAGACCTATGACAAGTCTTGCCAACCAGCACTATTAGCTGTGGGACACTGGGGTATATGTATGTTGATGGAGAAATCTCAGCATCTACAGACATGCTCAGTTCTCTGAGTATAACCCAACTCAAACCTGAGGGTCTATCCAAATAATGTCATGTGTATAAACGAACTAATTAAAAAAAAACAGAATCACTGCAATTTTCCACCCATGTGGATTCCAGGTTGCATTTGTTGGGGGAGGGGGAGGGGCTATATACACAATGCTCCTTAATAATCATGTCATAAAACATGACAAATTAAGGAATTTGCTGAAATCAAAGGTATTAGGTAGGAAGGTGCAGATATCACAGCCTAATTTCATCAGAAGCGACGTGCACGGGCTTTCATGGCAAGAACCAAAGGAAAGAAAAAAGAAAAAAAGTAAAGATCCCTTTTCACGCCTTTCGGCGCATCGGGCATATGGGCAGAGCGTCCCATATTTTTACAGACCATCAGCACTCTGTGGGTAATGTGGTCAGCATTACGCCGGCTGTCTTTACTTTCCCAGGAAAAGTCATCAAAAAAGACAGGTAGAGCCTTTGCTTCTACCACCAGCAGCAGGACAATGGAGGCCACAGCTGTGACAAAGGCCCTTGAATGGCTGGAAGTGCAGGATTTCAATAATGCATGTTTGCTCAGTGACTTGATGAGTATGCTACAGAAGATCAAGGTGGGCTATGTACGGAAACATTAGCTCCATCTGACACAGCATGCAACGTTTGCATAATCACTTTGTGATTATGAAGTGAGCTCAGGAAATGAAATAATATGTACTGACACATACGTTGTGAGCTGATTGTAATCATTAGGTATTATCCAAATCATACAAGAACCCTTTATAATTTAAAACAGCCATGGATGTTCTACAACATTTACCCAGATTTTACAACAAAATCCCCCCCCCCCCCCCACAGTGTACAATGCCTATTCTCATTGTACACACTTCTACAATATTGCATCATAATTCTACAATATACCTTCAACATATACCCCTATTTCTACAACATAAACCATTTCTAAATACTGCATCATAATTCTACAATACACCTTCAATCTACAACACATACCCCCATTTCTACAACATATTGCCCATTTCTACTGCATCATAATTCTACAACTTAACTCCAATCTACAACATACACCCCTAATCTTCCCAGTCATATCCCACTTCTACAATACTGCATTATAATTCTACAATATACCTCCAATCTACAACACACACCCAACTTCTCAATACTGCATCATAATTCTACAACACACATCATCAATCTACAATACACACTGCACTTCTACAATACTGCATCATAATTCTACAACATATCTTAAATTTACAACACACACTTCACTTCTACAATACTGCATCATAATTCTAAAATATGCCTCCAATCTACAACACATATCCCACTTCTACAATACTGTATCATAATTCTACAACATACCTCCAATCTACAAGGACCCTTTTCACTGCCCTTCATGTGTATTGGGTATATAGGGCTAGACCTATATTTTATAGACCAACGGCACAAGATGGGTGATGTGGTCAGCATCATACCAGCCATCTTTACTGGGAGTGAGCCCACGACCTTCCGATACGCAGGCAAGTGTCTAGCCGCTATGCCACTGTGACTCCCCCACTTCTTAATACTGCATCATATTTCTACAACATAACTCCAATCTACAAGACAGACCCCACTTCTATATTGCATCATAACTCTACAACATACCTCCAATCTACAAAACGCACCCCACTTCTACAATACTGCATCATAATTCTACAACATAACTTCAGTCTAAAACACACACCCCACTTCTACAATACTGCATTATAAATCTGCAATATAACTCCAACCAAGAACACACATCCCAATTCTACAATAAGTAATAAGAAAGAAAAAAGTAAAGATCCCTTTTCACACCTTTTAGGCGCATCAGGCATATGGGAAGAGCACCCATATTTTTACAGACCATTCGGCTCTATGTGGGTAATGTGGTCAGCTTTACGACAGCCGTCTTTACTTCCCCAAGACATGCATCCTGGTACCCATTTTAGGTTGGGTTGACCTGTGACGCCCAATAACACAATAAAAATCCATGCAGCGAGCGGTGGGTTTCGATCGCGGTACATTGGAATTACGAGGCGGACTCACCTAAGCCACGGACGCCATCCACTTCTGCAGTACTGCCTTATAATTTTACAACATATCTCCAATCTACAACATACACCCCACTTCTACAATACTGCATTATAATTCTGCAATATAACTTCAATCTAGAACACACACCCCACTTCTACAATTGTGCATCATAATTTTACAACACAGCTCAAGTCTACAACACATATCCCTATTCTATACTGCACATCCCCATTTCTACATCACACATCCCTATTTCTTCCAGAACATGCAAGTGTAATGGGAAATCAACAGGCAGATAGACTGACTCTCCCCCTTGGTGTTAAACTGATGCATGACAAGCTAGATGTTGTGAAGATCCTTTGCGAGCAAGTGAAAGATGCAGAGCCAAAAACAGTTTATCAAGGCCTGAAGGTAACGGTGAAGACCAAGGGATTTGGCCGAGCTTAAGAATCAGGGAAATGGCAAAACAGAGATGCAATCAGGCTATTGGTATTAATGAAATTGACACTCTTCAATGGCTGCTGAAGATGCTGATGGAGCCCATATGTGAATGTCATAAGTGTTATGATAGTTTTTAACTCAACATCCTTGTTTCTAGATCTATCTGCATACTATAACATATCCCCATTATGCAACATACATACACATTCAAAATCTATCCCTGTTCTACAACATCTTTCCCTTATCTTCAACATACATCCCTATTCTACAACATCCATGCACCTTCTACAATATCTACTCCCATTTTACAACATCTATCCCTTATCTACAAAATACATCCCTATTCTACAACATCCATGCACTTTCTACAATATCTACTCCCATTCTACAACATCCATCCCTTATCTACAACATACATCCCCATTCTACAACATCCATGCACTTTCTACAATATCTACTCCCTTTCTACAACATCTCACCCCATTCTACAACACACATCCCCATTCTGCAACATCTTTCCCCATTCTACAACATCCACTCCCATTTTACAACATCCATCCCCATTCTACTACATACATCACCATTCTACAACATCAATCCACATTCTACAACATCCATCCCCATTCTACAATATCCATCCCCATTCTACAAAATCCATTCCCATTCTACTACATACATCACCAATCTACAACATCAATCCACATTCTACAACATCCAATTCCATTCTACAACATGCACCCCATTCCACATCCACCCCCATTCTACATCCACCCCCATTCTAAAACATCAACTCCCGTTCTACAACATCCATCCTCATTCTACAACATGCACCTCCATTCTACAAAACACACCCACATTCCACAATATCACCCCCTCCCCCCATTATACAACATCCATCCAAATTCTACAACATCCACCCCATTCTACAACATCCACCCCCCCCCCCCATTCTACAACATACATCTCCATTCAACAAGACATATCCCATTCCACAACACCCACCATCCAATCTACAATACTTACCCTCAATCTACAACTCCTAACCCCATAAACAAGGCCCACCCCTCCCCCCATTCTACTATACCCATCTCAAATCTACATTACCCATCACCTCATCCTACATCAAACAGTCTACAACACCTCTATCCATCCTACCTTCTTTATCTGTGCTCATCTTGATATGCAGAGTTCTGTTCACCAAGAGCTCCAGATCTCTGGCAACGAACCCCTCTGTTTTCACGGCTATGGAGGACACATCTAAAGTTTTCACAGTTTCTGAAGTCACACTACTGTGTCTCTGGAGTATACACTGAAGGATCTTCTCTCTGGCATCCTGAAATATGAAGGAGATTTGTTTTAATTCTGATGTTTAATCCATTTGAGCACACTAGACACTGGATCAGGATAATATTTCTTTGCTCTCTCTCTCTCTCTCTGGACACTGGGTTGGGGTAAGTTTTCTTAGCTCTCTCTGAAACCTCAAATGGGGTATTGTTTTTGGCGTCCATCATTACTGGTCTGGGGTATTGATTCTTAGCTCTGTCTTGACACCGGATCAGGATAGTGTTTCTTAGCTCCCTCTCAACACTAGGCTGGGAAAAAATTTTTCTTAGCTCTCTTTGGAAACTGGGTTAGGGTACTGCTTCTTAGCTCCCTCTGAAACCTCAATGTGGTATTGTTTTTAGCGTCCACTAATTACTGGTCTGGAGTATTGATTCTTAGCTCTGTCGACACCAGATCAGGGTAGTGTATCAGCTTCCTCTGGACAATAGGCTGGGGTACTGAAATGCCACAAGGCACCAGTAAAGAGCCAAATGTGTATCTGCAGCATGCTGACCACCTTTACTTCCCTGGACATTTCCATGTACCAGTTTTCAGCTGGGTTGACTTAGGAGCTCTAGATCAATTATAAAAAATATTTCCTTTATGTGGATTCAAGCCTAAACTTACAGGCTGACAGATAAACACCTAACCACTGCGATACCATTGTACCATAGCCATCAATTTTTTAATATATTATATTTACACATATACATATATATATATTTACACATATACATATATATATATGTGTGTATATATATATATATATATATATATATATATGTGTGTGTGTGTGTGTGTGTATATATATATATACATATATATATATATATATATATATATATATATATATATATATATATATATATATATATATATATATATATATATATATACATCTACGTATATATATGTGTGTGTGTACACACATATATATATGTATATACGAGGGAAAGTCAATAAGTAAGTCACAAAAAAATCTGGACAACTGGCAGAGGTATATATATTTTTTTAGAACTCTCTGAACGGTGAGTCAGTCTATTGTTTGTTAGCTTTTTTTTTTAGACAACAGGTTGCGGCATTGACTCTTGGCTCCTTCTGAACCCTGGATCAGAGTATTGCTATTCTCTGCCTTAAAACAGTAAAAAATAACAAATTAAAATCATTTATAGTAAACGTGTTTAAAAAAAAAAAAAAAAAAAAATAACCTTGTCAGGGGAGCCAATGTTGAGGGTCTGCTGGATGCAGTGCATTCCCCTGGAAGATACCAGGCTTGGGTGGAGAGATGATCGAGATGTGCTGGTGGCAATCACGGTCACTCGACTGTTGTTCTCAATCTCATATCTGACCACATTTTCCAGGACTGAAATTATTGAAATTGAAAAAAAAAATTTAATTCTTGGAATGTGAGCAAACAAATTAGGAAGAACACACAAATGAAAACAAAACCTGCCATCTATCAATGCAAAGAACCCTGTGCAAGATTGCCCAATTATTCCTGGAAGAAGCTGGGTATATCAGGCCAAACAAAACTACATTACAAAAAAAAAAGCTGTGGGGGTCCAGTGGTGACCTAGGCAATCCATCCAGGTTTGTGACCCAGATGGGACTGAATGCAGCAGGGATCATTCGAATGAAGAAGAAGAAGAAAACTTCCAATCAATATCGCGAAAGGCAGGTTTATTTTGTTTAGCTGTGGAAAGTATCTGACAATAGTTAACTGTTGTATTTTCCTATATATCTAGACTGAAAGGATATAGTTTTGTCCCCCAGCTAATTAGTCGAGTGCATGGTGTGACACTCTGAGCCACAGATTTAATTTGTAATGCTCGTTGTGTTGGCACTTCTGATGGCTGCCTTATGCATTTAATGCGTATGTATGCTACTGGCTTTACTGAGACTGCAGTGTGTGCCAATTTTTTCACAAGGGGCAGCGATGGACATTCTGTACGGTTTTCCTTGGCTCAGGATCAGAGCAACTATGAGGTGTCCTACTTGCTATAAAATTGGAACTGCAGACACTTTACCTCACCCTAGAAGAAAACATGACAACTGAGCCAGCAGGCTAGTGAGCTGGCCACTGCACAGCTGCAGTTTTCAATCTTGTATTGAGAGTGATGTCTTTAAAGGTAACACACAAGCCATAAAAACCCCCCCGTACAACACAAAGTGCTTCATAAATGTTCTCTGAAGTCAGAAGTGTCCACCAAAAGGTGCAAATATCACAGCTCAGCTGTGAACAGGCAAAAAGGATTTACGTCACAACAACCAACACAATGAAGAAGATGAAAATGTTTCTTAACATTGGGACACCGGGTTGGGGTTTTGCTTCTTAGCTCACTTGGACATTAGGATGGAGCACTGTTTCTTAGCTTACTTGGACATCAGGATGAGGTACTGCTTCTTAGCTCCCTTGGACATTAGGATGGAGCACTGTTTCTTAGCTTACTTGGACATCAGGATGGGGTATTGTTTCTTAGCTTACTTGGACATCAGGATGGGGTATTGTTTCTTAGCTTACTTGGACATCAGGATGGGGTATTGTTTCTTAGCTTACTTGGACATCAGGATGGGGTATTGTTTCTTAGCTTACTTGGACATCAGGATGGAGCACTGTTTCTTAGCTTCCTTGGACATCAGGATGGGGTATTGCTTCTTAGCTCCCTTGGACACTGGGTTAAGTTATTGCTTCTTAGCTCACTTGGACACTGGGTTGAGGTATTGCTTCTTAGCTCACTTGGACACTGGGTTAAGGTATTGCTTCTTAGCTCACTTGGACACTGGGTTAAGGTATTGCTTCTTAGCTCACTTGGACACTGGGTTAAGGTATTGCTTCTTAGCTCACTTGGACACTGGGTTGAGGTATTGCTTCTTAACTCACTTGGACACTGGGTTGAGGTATTGCTTCTTAACTCACTTGGACACTGGGTTGAGGTATTGTTTCTTAGCTCACTTGGACACTGGGTTAAGGTACTGCTTCTTAGCTCACTTGGACACTGGGTTAAGGTATTGCTTCTTAACTCACTTGGACACTGGGTTGAGGTATTGCTTCTTAACTCACTTGGACACTGGGTTGAGGTATTGTTTCTTAGCTCACTTGGACACTGGGTTGAGGTATTGCTTCTTAACTCACTTGGACACTGGGTTAAGGTATTGCTTCTTAGCTCACTTGGACACTGGGTTAAGGTATTGCTTCTTAGCTCACTTGGACACTGGGTTGAGGTATTGCTTCTTAACTCACTTGGACACTGGGTTAAGGTATTGCTTCTTAGCTCACTTGGACACTGGGTTAAGGTACTGCTTCTTAGCTCACTTGGACACTGGGTTGAGGTATTGCTTCTTAGCTCACTTGGACACTGGGTTGAGGTATTGTTTCTTAACTCACTTGGAAAATGGGTTGGGGTATTTCTCCACAACTGGGCCCTAAAACCCACATGTGGTCATCGATAAATTTAAAACAATAATGCAGTAAAAGATTACAAATGAGGGGTTTGCAGAAATTTGATGTGTTGAGCCAAAAGGTGCAGATATCTAAGCCTAGCTTTACACCACAGCACAATGTGCAAACCACCCTTTACAGCCGGGTTATTCATCTGGCCTGCGGAGACATAGCAAGTGGTCCACCGATAACTGTGTTGTATTGTAATAACAACCATTCGACACTAGGCAACAGGCCTCCGGCCCGTAAGATCTACATTTTCAAACAATTTTGGCCCCTGAGTAAACTTAGTTGAACAGCCCTGCTGTAATGTTGGTATTTTCCCACAGGGATTTAATAAATGACGATCTAGGAGTAAACATGAGATAAGAGAGACATATATGAGAATGTGAATACTCGTAAAAACACCAGATATACGAACAGTGCTCAAGCCAGCATGTGAAGCCCAGGAAGAGGGTTATAGGATTAGACGAAGAGCTGATCAGTTAGTAAGTGTTTGGCAGCCGGCGTGAAAGGTCGTATTTGAGAGAAGAGTGAATGTGACATTATGTAACTGAAGACGTGAAGGAGATTCTATTCCATGAGAGGACAGCCAGATGACAACTTGATGACAGCCTAACCAGAAGTTGTAGCCGACGATATCTAACTGGCCAGAGAGTCTAACAGCCATGATCAGAGATGCTGAATCAATCACTGTGTGCATCGTGTGTGTAGTTAAACAGGACTGAAAGGTAAAGAGTGTAGATGGTAGTAGACTTCAATTCTCTACTTGATAAATGTCATCATCCCTTGTTGGACCATGCTAGCCAGTAGTAGACACTAACTGGACCAGATTACCTTTGAAAGTTGAATAAACGATATAAACAGAGATCTTGTCTACTCATTACCAACTGTGTGCATTTAGAATGTCATCCATGTTATAGATATGAAAAACCCCTAGCACTCCCAGAAGACATTATCTCACTTGCTTTACAGGGTGAAGGCTGAAAAAAAAAAAAGAAGTAGTTTTTCAACTTACCTTGTGCATTTTTGGTAGAGTAGAGAGCTTCTCCAGTGATCTCAGTCTCTGGGCCAGAGGCAGCTGGTACAATGACATCTAGATTCTCTAACACGACCACTGCTGGTTCTCTCCAGGCAGCCTCATCGAAGGTCATCTCCAAAATCTTTTGTATTGTAGTAACAGCTTTACCTGCAAATAGAAATTGATTTCATTGGGTTTTTAGTTTTCAAGGACCAGCCTAGCTAGATACAGATTCTTCTCCTTCATGTTCATCGGCTTTAAACTCCAATAGAAAGTTCTGGTTGTTTACCCACTTCTTGACTCTAGCCCTGTTCTAGAAACAGAGTGCAGTGTGCACTTCCGTTTCACAGGTCTGACGTATCTGCATGCAGACTGTTGGTTCCTTGCCTTTCAGGCAGATGTACTCCAACTTCGAAGGAAGCTACCATTCTGTTGACGCTTACGACATGCTTTTGGGCAGGCAGTGGATCTATTCTTGTTTTACTCATAATAAGGCCCCGGAAACCCACATAAGGAACTAATAAATTTTACTTTCCATAGTTTGCTACTTTTTTCCCTGCCACTGCTTCCATTACCATAGAATCTGAGTTGTGTTAGAGTGCTGGGCTCTCGTGTGGGAAACCAGGGTTCGATCTTCAATATGGGATGGAGATTTCTTTCTGTCAGGGGCAAAAATAAAAATCCTAACCTGCACAGTTCCTGGAGACGGCACTAGCCCCGTGGTCTTAATTCCTAAGGCTTACAACCATCCTGTCCTCCACTGCCCTTTAAGTGGTAAATACAGGCAGCTTTCTAAGGGGTACAATGCTCCTACCAATGACCAAATCACCACAAAGCAGACAGCCACCAAATCACCACCAGTAAGCCATAGATGTCAACTACCGTCACACTGGGGAAATACAGTACTTAAAAAAAATATTCTTCTTTGTGAATTTTCTTTGCCTCTGTTTAATTGTAACTGTGAGGAAGAAGAAGAGGGAGAAGATGACTGTATCTTACAGTACTTATAATTTCTTTTATAAGATCCTGTTTCTTCTTGTTGTGAATCTGTATGTCTCTTACCTCTCAAAGTCTTGCAATCCAGCAGTGTTACATAAGCCAGAACTGGAGGATGCCCCATTTTGCGGCACAGCCCTTTCACCAATGATGACTTGCCCGATCCCTTGGGCCCCGTAATCAGCAGGATGCCGTGAGAAAGTCCACCTCGAACTTGGAAGGAATAACGGCTAAGAGGTCTGGATGCCAAACTGGCATGCAGGTACAGCAAAGCTTGTTGAACCAAAGTGTCCACTCCTCTGTTAAAGAAAACAGAAACATAGGCAGACTTTTAATCAGGCTTCAACTGGTACTATTAGCACGAAAATTCTTTGTTGGCTATCGAGGAAGGAGACGGAGCAGGTGTGGGAATATCCCAAGTGCAGTGATGTCAATTCTTGATTGATTGATTCATTCATTCATACATTCATTGATCAAACAGAATTTTCACAGCACATGTTACATGATGCTTTTATAACCCTTCTGTCCTTAAATTTGTTATGTCTTTGTAGTATGTGGAATTCCCACCCCACTAATGAAATCAGATGAAAGATCAATTAAACAGGAGACAGGAGAAAGGCATGCTCTGTGCAGAGTGGCAAGCATCGCTTCAGAGATCCCGGGCAGTTAGCATCCTTTGGATATTTTCTCCAGGTTATGCCGGTGAGTTGGGAAATTAGCAGACAGATAGACTGGCTGGTTCTGCACCACTTGGTGGTGAATTGATGTATGACAAGTTAGATGTTGTGAGGGCCCTTTGGTAGAAAGTGAAGAGTGTGAGGCAAAAATAGATAATTATGATTTGAGGAGAATGACGCTAGGGGGGAGTTACCAGGGGATCTGGCTGATGCTCAACACTCAAGGAAAGGGTGAGATGAATGTACAATCAAACAGTTACTGGTGCCATTGGTATTGGAACTCTGCGCTGGCTGCTGAAGATGGGGACGGAGTGTTTATAGGAGTATCCCGAGTGCTGTGATGTTGATTCTTAATTACACATTAAACATTAGGGGGTGAGACAAATATAATGCAATTAAACCAGGAAAACAGTAGTCCAATCTCTCTTGGGGATATCCCACTCCAAGATGCGGAATCATATATCTATATAGGCAGTAATGTAGATAAAGATGGGGGAACTGACACAAACTTTAAAATATGAATACAAAAGGCAAGAGGTGTTTTCATAGCATAAGAAAATTTGCAGATGCCAAAGGAAATCAAAACTAATATAAACTTTAATTAGTTAAATCTAAAGTCACATTAGTAGTGTTGTCTGGGGCGGAAAAATGGATAACAACTAAAACAATTACTAATTAACTACAAACATTCATTAACTGGTACCTGAGTAGAATAGAGGGAATTGAATCTGGTAATCTGGTAATCCTAGTTTCAGCATCATAGCAAACGGGTCACCCCATTGTTGCTCCGCTCCTGTGCCAACGAAAAACACTTGTAGCTCACAGTGTCACACCATGCACTCAACTCAGAAGCTGGGTGACGAAACTATATCCTTCCAGTCTACAAATGGAGCAAAAATGCAACGGCCACCGCCTGGCAGAACTGCCACGGCTTAAAAAAAAAAAAAAAGTGGTCATGCCTAGTGTCCACTGTGACTTGAAGCATTATGTGAGGGGTTAACAAATGGTCACCCCAGCAGTACCCTCACTATTAGCTGGGAAAGGGACTTAGGACATTACATCCACCAGCAGGCGTCGCCTCTACAACGACCTGACTGCCTTCGTTAACGACTGTTCACCCAACAGCCATGCAGTTCTTTGGCACGAAGGAGACACCTTGAACTTGGGTTTCGGAATGCCGACTTCCTACAAAATGTTATTTTGTGTTTTGTTATCACAATCGACGTCACTACACATTGGGCATACCCATGCGTGCGCAGTCCTCCGAAGCAGCAGCCACTCCAAAGTACTTCTACTAATTGTTCCCATGAGAAGCTGGTTATATTGTCTCCTTTCTCGGCCTCGCAGACGGCAAAGACGTGCTTCACCATGCTTAACTCCCATGTCACGCAATCGTGTTAGTGTCAGGGATTCGATATTATTCACTAGCCCAGTACGTACAGCGTTAACGATATCTGCTCTGTCCATGCTTTTTCCCGCAATCATTAGTGCTGTGCTTGCCAGTTGGTCCGCTCGCTCATTTCCCTTTACGCCCGCATGACCCGGTGTGTAGATCCAGGTTACGGAAGTTAAGTGCGATTTCCGAATGCTTTCTATCCATTCAGAGCGCATACTGCCTGTTGCTATTTTCTGAAGCATATTCATTGAGTCTGAGACAATTACTGCTTGTGTGGCGGTTTGCTCGGATACCCATGCTAAAGCTCTAGAAGCAGCGGCTATTTCCATGGTCATGCTTGACGTGGTTGTCTGGTAAGCGCCGCTGTCTTCATGTATTGTTTTCCCCCTTCTTTGCGCTGTGTATGCCCATGCTGACCTTGATCCGCGCTTCACGGACCCATCTGTGTAGATGATGATATCTTCTGGGTCTGAATGCTGATCTATCAGTTCCCTTATTTCTGTGTCTATGGCCGCAGGAATCTGATCCCGACAGTACCTTCCTAGTGTGATGACAACCTTAGAGATGCCATGCATGTCTACTGGTGTATTCATCCATTCTTTTCCGTGCCTGATAACGCGTAGGTCACATACCTGCTGGATCAAATTCTCAGCCTTTGCCATCCAAGAGCGGCCTCTTTTGAGACGCGTTCCTTTTGTGTCGTATATAGCTTTGTGCAATGGGTGGTTAGCGTCTGCCGATACCCTCATGTAAGCCTTGACCTGTGCCACTTTGTATCTGCTAGTCATCGTCGGCAAACCCAGGACATAACGCATGGCGTTGCAGGAGGTGTCTTTTGTGCAGCCGAGTATGAGTCTCATGGCCTCATTTTGTACTCGGTCCAGTCTTTCTAGCTGGGTTTTGCTGACAGTGAGGAGGCCAAGACCATAGTCAATGACGCTAAGCACAAGCCCTTGATAGAGAAGGAAAAGTAGGCGTTGTTCAATATCAGCTGCTGCTAGCACCTTGAGTGCTGTCAGACCTTTTCTGGCTCTAAGTATGACGACGTTGTCTACGTGGCATTTGTATGACAAGCATCTGTCAAATGTCATACCCAGGTATTTCATGGTGTCCGTTCTCTCGATGTCCACACCACATATGCTTACGACTGGCGTTGGTGTATTGACGATGTGAGTATTTAGAGAGAACCATGTTAAGGAGGCTTTGGACGGGTTCACTTGAGCTCTTGATTCCTGGCACCACTCACTAAGTCTGTCTAGTTCGTGTTGTAGTGTGGTTGTAATTTCCTGCCTGTTTTTACCTCGACGGTAAACAAGAATATCATCTGCATACGACATTGTTCTACCTAGACCTACACGTTGTGCACTAGTGACTCCTGCTGTGTACACATTGAAGAGCACAGGCGACAGTGGTGATCCCTGTGGCAGACCCATTAGGACTCGTTGAGGTTCGGATGCCCATTTACCACATCGAAGCGACACTGTTCTTTCAAAAAACGCTGCTGTGATCCAGTTGACCAACTTTGTCTCTATCTGCATATCCAACAGCAGTCTGATGAGCATGTTGTATGGGACGCTGTTGTACGCATCTTCTAAGTCAATAGCGGCTGCAGCAGTTTCCATTCCCTCCTGGAAACCCTCATATGTGTCGTAAGCAAATACTGCAGCATTGCACCATGTATCTCTTCCTGGTCTGTAACCACCTAGTGTAGCGGGGAATAGACCACCCGACTCTAATTTTTGGGTTAACGTTCTGGCAACGATTTTTTCCATGAGTTTTCCTACCGTGTTCTGAAGTGTTATGATCCTATAGCCATTTATTCTCGTGTGGTCTTTTCCTGGCTTAGGAACTGGTCTGAGATAGCTGTGGAGCCAGTCATCAGGAATAATGCCAGTTTTCATGGTGTTGTTAAAAATCGTGGATAGTTCATCCATATCTGTCATATCGAGGCTTTTGAAGTCGCTGTATCTAATGCCATCAGGACCTGGAGCTGTGTCTGGACAGGTCTTCAGTGTTGCTTTGATGCAGTCCGTTGAGATGTATACTGTATCATCGTCTTCCTCGATTTCAGCCATCTGGATATCATGTAAATTCTGTTTTATCTGCTCCCTATCTTCCCTGTCTTTCTTTTCCGTCTGCAGGAGAAATCTGTGCAGGATAGCCTCCCCTTTGTCTTTATCCGATTTTAACACCACCCCGTTGTCCATCTTTAGCTCGGGCATAACAGAGGTTTGTTTGCCTCCGTTCATCTTTTGGTGGAGCCGCCAGAATTTTCTGAGAGATTTTTCGTAACCTATTTCTTGACAAAAATGTTCCCACATTGTGTGCTTAGACTCCTTTGCGAGTTGTTTAAAATGTTCAGTGAGTCTGTCTTTTTTGTGTTTAACGTCTTGTTTCTGCGCCTCAGTAAAATTCGAAGACTTTCTGCATTTCTCCCAGTCTTTGGTGGCACCTCGTTTCTCTGTCCAGGCTTCTGCGACTTCAGGAGTCCACCATGGGGGTTGTTGAAAGATAGCTTTCTTCTTTCCCGGTGTTCTGCGTGACCTGTCTCGCAGACGCCCAATTACATCAGGCTGATTTGCAGCATACTGGAAAGAAGTGGCTGGTCTCTGATACCTTGTGCAGATTGTTTTTTTGACCAGAATCCAACATGGAAGGTGGTCGCTTCCATGATGTCCCAGTACACATATTTAATTAGTGAGAGTTTATTAACGTCACCCCAGTGGTGCCGTCGTGCTGGGGAAGGGGCCAGAGACGTAACGCCCATCAGCACAGTGTCGCCCCTGTACGACATAACTATGTGTGTGTAGCCTGATGAGATGTCATCGCAAAGAAAGGGGTACTATTTGTAAAAATAGAACTCCAAATGTCTGTAATTATTTCCTCTTCCATTCGCGAACCCGACCCACCACAGCCAGTGTAACCAACGAAGTAACAAGTAAGGAAACCTGATATTCTCGAGTATGCAGCGGTGGAAAACATTGCCGTCATGTGTTTAAATTGGTAAGAGGTTTGATTTGAGCGATGAAAACCGATTCACTACGCAAAGTATTTGCCTTGAAATAATCTTGGTTGCTAGCGCCGCCATGCCGGAAGTTGTCACAGGGAATTGAATAGTATGATACATTGAATAGTATGATATCATACAGGGAATTGAATAGTATGATACAGTCGCTGACGTGGAGCTTTGGGAGAGAACTTAGCAAATTCCAGTAAATCAGGAGGTGAATAGAAGAGGTTGGCATTGGATCTGACAGTAAGAAAAACTTAAAAAAATATAGAGTATAAGTACAGTGAAACTCAAAGGGGCATAGAAATCAGGGAAAAAGACACATAGAGAAATAAATTAGAAAGTGAAGTTAAAAAGATGTTAAAGATATGAGGTGAGCTACATTCAATAGCAAAGGATAGGACGAGTTGGTGTGAGTTGGTTGAGGGCCTATGTGCCACTGAGGGGATAAACGACAGAAGAAGAATTTGTAGAATTCAAACAATGCAAAAACATTTTAAAATCTGTTAGCCTAACTGCTTCATAACAAATGTGTAATGTAAAGTAAAGGACCCTTTTCCAGGATTTCAGATGTATTGGGTATTTAACTGGATCCCATTTAAGGCTGGGTCCACCTGGCAGCCAGGGTTATTTCTGGAAAAAAGTATGGTTTCATCAGGAGCTGAACCCATGACCTTCTGATCTGCAGGCAAGCGTCTTGCCGATACACCACAGCGGCTGTTTAATGCACAATACATAAGGACAGAACAAACAGACAGTGTCATATATTATCAAAAAGGTCAACAGCTACTGACCCTAGCTGCTTCAACTTCTGTGGAATAGGTACTGGGTCAAAATCAACAGTCTGGCAGTAAGGTAACATTTTATTGATGACGTTCATCTTGTCTTCCCAGGCTTCTCCACGCTCAACAAGCATCTGAACCATTTCAATGTTGGATTCACTCAGCATCGTCACTGCCTTGATATTGCCAGCGTCATTCTCTCCAAAAAAAGTCAGCTGCACTTCTGCAATGACATCTGCAATCAACAGGCATGTGATTAGATGCATTTCTTGGCTTGTATACATTGGCATCATTAGCTGGTGGCTGTGCAGAATAGAGGGGATTAAATGGTATGATAGAATCACTAATGTAGAGCTTTGGGAGAGAACTAAGCTAGCTCCAGTGGACCAAGAGGTGAAGAAAAGACGCTGGTGTTGGATAGGACAAACACTGAGAGAAACGGAGAACAATATAACTAGAATGTCTTTGCATTGGAACCCACAGGGGCATAGGAATAAAGGAAAGCCAAAAAACACATGGAGAAGGGAGCTGGAGAATGAAGTTAAAAAGATGGGGAGGCCATAGGGAGAGCTGCATGCGACAGCAAAGGATAGAACGACTTGGTGTGAGTTGGTTGAGTGCTATGCTTCATTGGGGGTTAGAAAGGCAGAAGAAGAAGAAGATACATTGGCAGCAAACTATAACAATTTTATTACATCAAAAATTATTCTTTTATTCTTCTTCATATTTTGTTTCGTCTTCTTCTTTCACACCTGCCTTATATTTCACTGTGAATTTAAATAACGAGGAATAAAAAAATTCACTGCACAGTTTACTTCCAGAAATATTCCGCCATATCTTGTCAGGTGCATTTCTACAGTTTACATGAAAATTTAATGAAGTATAAAACATTCACCCTTTTAAGTGAATTACAGAAACGATACATCACACATCTTACTATGGATGTTTAATACTACACATGTGATTCTTTTGGTTAACCCTGTTACCAGGGAAAGCAATCTGTCTAGCTTTTATGGGTTTTTGATGATATAAAGTCTTTGGGAGAGTGGCTACTATGGCCATATGACAGCTCTTCTACAGGCTGTAACTGCAGTGTGTGTAGATGATGTGATTATCTTCTACTTCTTTACGTTCACCAGCTGTAAACTCTGGTAGAAAGTTCTGGCTGTTCATCCACTTCTGGACTACAGTCCTGTTCCAGAACCTGAGTGTTGTGTATGCATCCGTTTGACCGATCTGACACATTTGTATGCAGACTGATGGTTCCTTGCCTTTCCGACTTAGAAGGATAACGTGATTATGACTATATTTACCTTTAACAAAAATTTAAATAATATTAGAGGTGAAAAACACCTTTGTTAGAACATTTTCCTTTCCCAAACAAAATTACCTTGCCCCACATAGTGAACTGATGTGGGTTAAAAAAAATAAAAATTGCTTTTTTTTTTCTTTAACTCTTTGAGTCCCTGGGAACGCATCATACGTGCGTAGGTTCTTACCTAGAAGCCCAAGGAACGCATGATGTGTCGATTTTAGTCTCTCTTCACTACCCATTGGTTATGTGATGCTAAACCCCCTGGGACTCAAAGAGTTAATGACTGGTCGGTTATGAAGAAACTGTGGCCTCCCCACTTGCCGGTCTGCTTAAAGGTCTAGGTGTTCAACCCCTTGGAGTTTCACAAACACTGACCAAGTTCCACATTTGTTCTGCTTCTTCTTCTCTTTCCCTAGTTTCTTGGAGGCGGAGTTTCAGAGAATCAACTCTTTAAGGCCCATGAATTTTGACAGATTTGGCTAACATAGATTTTCCTTTACAAAAATGGCAGCTGGGGTGGTGTAAAAAAAAAGGCAATTGAGAATGTAAAATACTTCTAATCCCTACAAAAGTATATTTTTTTAAAGAGAAAAATAAACGTACATTTTGAATCTGATGATAAGTGTATGTTTAATACTGTTATAGTTAGTAGGAAAGAAGAATTCAGCAGGTGTTAATTTCACAACAACAGAATTTTTAAAAATACTAATTCTTCACTTAACATGGTTTTGCAGGCTCAAGAGCAGAGAATATCTAAATTTGAGAATAACACTTCAAAGTTTGTTCAATTTCCTAACAAATTCCAGTTATGATAAGTTTCTGGGTTGGTTTAGCACTCGGGTGCTCTAAGTTTCAACAGAGTGCTGAACAAAATTTGTAAGAAAAAAATTGCAGATAAATGGACCATTACACACACAATATCGACTTTGTGCAGTTATATACAGACTGTAGCTGCAATGATTTAAATGTAGCTTAGCCACTGTATGGTAGTATCTATTTGTTTGGAGCACTTTCCTTCTCTTACACCCTAAATACGGTAGCAATGGAACACTGTCTGTGTCAGACTCATCAGAATTTCTAGATACCCTTACAGCTAATCGCTCTGCTGTCGCTGGCGTAAATTCATCGTCTGAATTACTTTCCAAACAATCCATATTTTCATTATCATTATCAGAATTAACAACATTTGACTGAAATAATTTCAGAGCTTCGGCCGCAGAAAGATGCATTCTGCGACCTGTGCTTAAGGTTAGGATGTTGGTATCCATGGCACTCGAAAACGAACTTAAAATAACCTGCAATGTTGCTAGCTATGAATTAGAACAATCCGCCCACGCCTTGGAACCCAGATTTTTAATTAAAGGGAGACGTTAGAGTAACCTTCCCTGAATACTTTAAAAGTGGTTTGGAACATTAGAAACGAATATGGCACCGTATGTGAGCTGATAGTGTTGCCTAGGCAGATCGGAACTTCTATATCAACACTCACAGCGTTGCTCAGGCCTTAAAGAGTTAAAAGGACAAAGTTTGTGTAAAATAAATTTGGGGGAAATATAATTTTTTCGAAGATTCTTACAAGGTGAAATTATTAATACAGGAGTGCCCATTTTTATTGCTTAATTCATACAAGTTGTAAAAAGGCTACACATATAACTGAGTGGAGTTTCTATGAGTAAAAATCAACTAAGAGACATTCTTCTATAGAAAGTCACCTGCTAGCTTCCGAGCAGGTATCTGATAAGAACTGTGTCTTCTGAGTTATCTACTACATACTGAACAGGCACTTATTAAATCTGGCAGAGGATATGGCAATTAGGATGGGCATTTTAAGTGAGTATCCTATTTTGCTACACCCCTTACATGGTACACAAGATTTCTGTTAAAAGTTTTTAACTAACAGGAAAACATTTTTTTTTTAAACATATACATACTGGCCATTCAGACATACCTGGGAAAATCACAAATCTAAGAAAGATGCCCTGGAACACAACCAAAGGATGCTCCTCATCTGCACAATTCCGGATGTAGTTAATGAAGGCCATTATTATCAAATCATTGTTAACTGTTTTTGGCTGGAAAAAGAAATGATACTTGTTGAATTAATTATCACCCTCATCACTATTATATTATATCAGTCGTCCCTATATGGGATGCGACTTTTTGTTATTTGAAGCCCTACCCTGGCTTTTGCCAGGGGCCCTGAATATAGTCCAGCCATAAATATTGTCTAATGTCTGAAAGAGGTTACTAGGACCTCTCCACGGGTGATCCTCATCCGCGCCCGGCTCTCTAGCGTAGTTGGCTAAGCTTGACTTCGCGGTGACCGGGTGACGAACTCCTTGTGGTCTGGGTTCACTCCCGAGGGGTAGGCAGAAAAGCCACATTTCTCCCAGATTTATGGTACCTATCATGGAATCAAGGCCGAAGGATTGCGATATCCATAGTACCGAGCCAAACAGTTAAAAACTCATGGTTTCTGGTTTCATGGTTTTTGAAAAAAAAAAAAAAAAAAAGATCCTCATCCGCATGGTGGAACCTTGTGTCACCGGGTGTTTATCGCTTGTGTGATGTCCTGGGGAGGTACAACAAGAGAGAGAGAGAGACCATCATGATTATGTTGTTCCCATAACAGCCTGCAAGCAAGAAACAGTTCCTATCTAGCTCTCCCACCTCATGCACCGTTCTGCCAAAGGTAGTTATCTTCTTGTGTCCTCTGATATGACCAAGGCATTTCTGTTTCCATAATAAGGCACTGTTTAGTTTATGAGTCCATTTTCTGTGAAATCAATAAACAATTTAATATTTCTTTTCTCCTTGGTCCAAGGTATCCTAAGAAACTTTTTGCACCATTTCAGCTCATAAATTTGTTTTTCTGGGGAGTTGCTTTTGTGATATTTTTTTTTTTTAAGGATAGTAATGTGGTAGTTTGTCCTTGCATTCCAAATCCACATGGTTTTAAGCCTTTAACAAATGTTTAGATTACCAGAGCAAGCAAGTACTCTGCTCTGTGCTACTCTAAACTAATTATCACTACACATTAATTAGCTAAACTAGCAGGACTTTTTCCATTTACAGCTCTGAGTAAAGTAAAGGACCCCTTTCCTTGCCTTCAGATATATGGGGCATATAGGGCTCTAAAGATTCATCACCAAATCCCAGGGATCTTAACTCTTTTACCAGAGGATCATAGATGATGCCTGATTGCAGCAATAATGATGAAAACAAACACATAGGTATATTTGCATCCATGGGTGTCCAAATACACAGCATATTGTGGGTGACTTGTGTCGTGTTACTGGGCTGATTCCGTTTGCCTGACTAACCCCGAAAAACTCAAGCTCAGTAACACTTCCTGTAGAGTGACCATCTTCTAAAGGGACTTAAATAGTATTGATTTGTTCAGATAAGTTAGAGTTAACATGCTTATGTCCTTGACACGCCATACTGGGTCTTTATGCAAAGAACTTGTTAATTATACTTAACTTTCAAGTAATTTTTTTTTCTTTTACATGGGTCACTGATGACCTAGTGGGCTTTTTTAAACTACTGATGTATAAATATACACAAAAAATGTTGACCGCTGTACATGAGTAATATGTAGCAGACATGGTGCGTTGTTTGAGACTGAAAGAGTTAAAAACATACACTCAGGAACTGAAGCGTGGAGTTGTAAGACAAACCCATAACCTTCAGAGCTCAAAGCAAGTGGTTTATCCATTCGGCCATAAAGACTGAGTAACTAAATAAGTATTATTACATCCATTTAGCCACTTACCAGTGAAGACAGGAGATAGATGTGAATTCTGCGTGGGATGACAAAGTCAACTGTACCCGTCTGTATCCAAACCAAACTTGCAGTTTCCAAATGCAGCTGCCGCCTCAACAAATCAGGTACAATCACATGACCTGATGAATAAATGTAAATAATAAAAGACAGCAAAATTAATATTTTTAAAGTGAGGAAAATAGCAAACTGAACATCTGGAATAAGCAACTATAAAACAGAGGGTGGCCATTCTTCTTCTTCTGCTGTATTCGCCAATAAAGTGGCTGCTGGGTGACTGTGATGTGGTTTACAGCTAGGCTGTGATATTTGCACCTTTTTGGACAAAACATCTGATTTCAACACAAATAATAAAAAAACAGGGCTCTGAAATCTGCATAGTTCATGACATCCCCCTCTTGCTTCAGGTAACGTACTTAATTTCTGCTTCTTTTGTGTTTATCAGAAGATATAACTGCATTGTACCGATTTACAGCATAGCTATGCTATATCTGCGCCTTTCGGACAACACATGACAACTTCTGACAACTTCTACTGGCATTTGTTTCCCAGGTCAGCCTTCCCGGAGTTGATTTTATGGTGTGGACTTTGTGGATTTTACTGACTATATATTCTTCTTCTTCATGTTCACCAGCTGTAAACTTAGGTGGAAGCTTCTGGCTGTTTGTCCACTTCTGGGCTTTGGTCTTGTTTCACAACTTCACTGTTGCGTGCACATCCATTTTACAGATCTGACATTTTTGTGTGTGCAGACTGTTGATTCCTCACCTCTCAGGCAGATGCACTCAGATTTCGAAGCAAACAATCCTGATTAGTTGTCTTCCTTTGACGACATGCTTGTTAGAGTAGAGGGCAGTGGGTCTATTCCCCCCCCAACCCGACATTTATAATGGGGCACCAGAACCCATTCAAGGAGGCCACGAGTAATCAGTGAGAGGTCAGCTGTAATGCCTCTGTAATATTCTGTATCCTGTATCTTCAGTGCATTCACAGAGGTCTCTTGAAGTTCTCCTTCAATGTTGTCAATTGCTATGCCACCAGGGAGTAACATAAATTTTCCGCACTGGCTACCACCTGACCCTGCTATGCCAGTGGAGGGAAATGCGCAAGGAGAAGAGGGGGGGGGGGGGGGGGGTTCAAGAAATTTTCTGCACTGGGTACCACTGGACCTTGCAATGCCACTGGAGGGAAGGTGCAGGGAGGGGGGGGGGGGGGGGGGGGGGGGGGGCAAGAAATTAAGAAATTTCTCTGCACCTGGTGTCACCTCTCCTCGTGGGTATGACCTGACCCGACCTTACAATGCCACTGGAAATCTTCCATACTGGGTACCACATAACTGTGCATGCCACTAGGGGTGACTAGAAATTGTCCGTACTACTGGGTACCACAAAATTGTGCTATGCCATAGGTTGCATCACTCAACAGATGAAGGTTGCTTTTTAAAAACAATAGTTCATATGTCATAACTGCAAACTGTTATTGAACAAAAAGAATTAAAATTGTCATTATTGTCCTAGTTACATTTTTCAGGGTGGTGTGGGTGTAGACACTTTTGGAAAAGGGTGGGGCGGGGGGAGTGGTGAAGGGAAAGTGTCTTGAGCCCAAGGATCTAGTACCACATGACTAGTGAGGTCGTCTATCTCCTGACCAGCCGAACAATATACTAGACCACACTCAACTCAATTTGAAAAAAAAAAAAAAAAAAAAGACTGCCATTTCAAGTCTTAATCATACACAAACCCAAAATGAACTTACCATACAACAAAGGCTGGTTACTTAAAACATGATCTGCTGCCTTCTGCCAAACTTTATCTGTAAGTCCTGCTTTTCTGTCAATTGACACTACTCTTACATAACAACTTCCTCCTGAGGTAGTTACATCCCCTGATCCCAGATTTGGATTTCCATCATCAATGCCTTCCATTATATCAGCCTTTGATGATTCATTTCCTGACCCCGTTTTGCTGGTCTTAACCTGTTTACCAGCTTTTTGTCCGGCATTTGCCTTCTGTTGTGGGGAAGGAAGCTTCTGCAATCTTGCAATGAAATTATCTGGAAGATGAGGCAAGTAAGGATGTACCAGCCTTTCGTTCTTGGTAAACTCGGCATCAATGTACACAGTAGAAGGTTGGAAAACCTCTAGTGGAGTGTTGTAGTCTTTCTGGTCATCCAGGTTCTCTTTATATGATGGCTGACGGACACTGCTTCCATACCCAAAGATTGACCGAGACACAATTTGTTTGTTGAGCTCTGCTTTGTTGAGGGAGAAGAAATCAGCCAGCCTGTGGATTAACCCCATGGACTGGACTCTGAGGACTGCGCTTCTGGAGGGTAGGTTCTTCAGTGGAAAGTCTATGAAGGAACTCCGGTCTGAGTCAGATAAGTTGTCCACCTGCTCCCTCCTATCAGCCATGAAGATACTGGGCAGGTATCTAAAGGAACACAATTAATACAATTATTACATAATGAATGAGAAAGTTTAGGGGAAGAGAGGCAGAGATGAAGAACAAGAGAGAACTAGCTGGAAGGTATCTATAGGCATACAACAAATTTAAAAAATAATAATAATGAATTGGAAATCTGGAGTGAAAGAAGCACCGAGGACGACCAAGAGAAACGATGCTGGATAGTTTGGCATCATGTTGTGGATAACATCTACATTAGAAATGACTGAAAAGTTGTCCACAATTCACTTCCATACATCAGGCCTGCTGTGATGCAGTGGCTAGATGCTCACCTGTGGATCGGAAGGTCGTGAGTTCAGGTCTCGACAGAGCCAGACTTTTTTTTTTTTTTTTTAACGACCTTGGCTTCCAGCTGGACCCAGCCTTGAGGAGGTACCCAGTATAATCCTGGGAATTATAGGTGGCCAGCGTGATGTTGACCCCACCACCCACCAAGTGCCGATTGGTCTATAAAATATAGGTCAAGCCTATATGCCTAATGTGGCGTCCGTGGCTAAGGCGTTGCGAGTCCGACTCGTGAGCCAGCATACCGCGATCGAAACCCACTGCAGGCTGCGTGGATTTTTGTCGTGGTATGGGACGTCACAGGTCGACCCAGCCTAAAATGGGTACCAGGATGGGCTGTCCTGGGAAAGTAAATGCTGACCACATTACCCACAGAGTGCTGATGGTCTGTAAAAATATGGGACGCTCTGCCCATATGCCCGATGCGCCGAAAGGCGTGAAAAGGGATCTTTACTTTTTACTTTTATATGCCTAATATAAGTGAAGGCAAGGAAAAGGGTTCTTTACTTTTACTTGACATCAGAACTGGCTCTGTACAGCATTTTCACCTCAACTGACAAAGACATATTGCATAAAATACTATTTATCTGTGTGTTTTTTTTTTTTTCAAGTATCCAGAAACTATGAAGTGTAAACCCTTTGGCTCGTCACTATGGATATCGCAAACCTTCGGCCTTGATTCCATGACAGATACCGTAAATTTGGGACAAATGTGGCTTTTCTGCTTACCCCAAGCAAGAACCCGGACCACAAGCAGTTTGCCACCCAGTCGCCACTCAGAGAGTTTTAACCAAATATGCTAGTGAGCCGGGAATTTATCTGATTAAAAACGGCTTTTAACTAAACCACAGTGATCACAAACATCTTAGGTTACTAACTTCATAAAACTTCCCATCAACGAGGACTGTCTTTGAACCACCGATGACATTCTCACTGAGTGAACTGATGGGTTTCTTCTCACACTTGACCGTGGACTTTTGACAGGGCTTGACGTGAGTGGCTTGGGCTCAAGTATGTCTATGTTTTCATACTCAGATGAGCTAGTCAACTGGTCTTGTCTTTGCTTGTAAGCTGAGTCTAAATTTCAAGTAATATAAAATTAAAACTACAGTAGTAAAAACGAACAGGTTTGTTAATAAATGTTAAACAACTTAGTAGACTTCTAAGTCTTTATCTCAGCTGCGCTCAAATACAATATATCTTGCTTATTAAAATGAGCAAACAGTCATTTACTGGCAAAAAACTCAGGCAGAAAGTTCTGGTTGTTTGTCCAGTTCTGGATCTTAGTCTTGTTTCAGAACTTGAATTTTGAATGCATATCCATTTTACAGATCTGCTTATTTGTATGCAAGGATGTGGCATGAAGAGTTAAGAACATTGGAACTAGAACCCAATAAGTTCACAGTGAGTTGCATGGGACCCATTGTCAGGAAAACAAGAATAGATCCACAGTCTTCCTAACAAGCATGTCATAAGAGTCGACTAAGTGAGCAGCTTACTTCGAAGCCGGAGTGCATCTACCTCAGAGGCAAGGAACCAACTGTCTGCATACAACTAAGACACATCTGTAAAATGAGTGTGCATGCAAAACTCAGGTTCTGGAACAAGTCTAAAGTCCAGAGGTGGATGAACAACCCGAACTTTCTGCTGGAGTTTACAGCCAGTGAACGTGAAGAAAGAAGAAGAAGAATAATGAATGAGTTCAAAATTATCAAACAGACAACTCACTGTATGAGTTAAGAGGCCCCAACAGCTGTAAACCACAATAAAAGATGCCAATTGCCCTTATATGGGTGAATGTAGAATTGGAAAAAGATGGAAACAAATACTCTACATGTGGGAGCGGGGGACCCCATTGTGGGAAAAATGAGAACAGACCCACTGCTTCCCCAACAAGCATGTGTAGGGGTTGATTAACTGGGGACTCCCTTTGAAGTCAGAGTGCATCTGCTCGAGCGGCAAGGAATAATCAATGAACACAAATAGGCCAGTAAAGCAGATGTAGACACAAAACTCAGACCCTGACACAAAGCCAAAGTCCAAATGTTTAAACAACCAGGACTTTCTGCCAGAGCTTACAGTTGGTGAACAAAGACAAAGAAGAAACAAATACCAAAATTCAAACTATATTGGCTTGTGTAAAAAATGGACATCTTCTCCTTTAAATACTTTCAATATTCTAAAAATAAAGGTTACAGATAAAAAGAACACTTTTCAAGGAATGATAGTCAGAGATGCATAAGAACACTACTCCAGAAAAAAAAAGAGCAAGGCAAACAAGAACACTATTCCTGAAACAACAGCCAGACAAACAAGAACAAGAACACTATTTGAGAAAACATTATTCAGATACACAAGAACACTATTTATCAAACAATAGCCAGACAACAAGAACAGGATTCCTCAAACAACAGCCAGACAAACAAGAATACTGCTCAAGAAACTACACTCAGAGACACAAGAACACAATTCAAGAAACAATTTTATTTCAGAAGCAACAGTAATTCAAACAAAAACACCACTAATCAAATAACAGCCAGACAAACAAGAACACTGCTCCACAAACAATAGCTAGACAAACAACAGCAGGACAAACAAGAACATTATTCCAGAAACAACAGCTAGACAAACAAGAACAGTATTTGATAAACAACAGCCGGACAAACAAGAACACTATTCCACAAACAACAGTCAAAGACAAACAAAAAGACTACAACTCTTACCCATAGATTTGAACTGATGCAACCGATTGGAAAGTATAGAATTCTGCAGTGGCAGTTCTTTCTTTGCCTGCCTTGATGTATATACTGTGCTCTTCGATGGCAGATTCAATGTAGATGGTGGGATGCTCGCCCGCAACTTGGGTGCTACATGAACTTCTGTATTGTTCTCCAAAATCACACATGGTGCCTCAGGTTTTATATCAACTGTTGAACAAAGTAATTCAAGCCTTAAAAATTTAAAGGTCATAGTAATAATAGAGACAGAATCAGCAATGAGGCAGATTTTTTATAATTTATATTAGCTCCCCGTTGAGGTCGATCTAGCCAAAATTTAGGAACCCGAAGGCTCCCCTGAGGGTTCTGGGGCCCCATTTAAGGGTGGAGACTGCTCCATGTGGAAAAGCAAAATAAATAAGCACAGCTGTAAAAGTCAATGGATACAATTCACCTGTATTGTCTATCTTCTTACACTGATAAGAGAGTTGGACTATCACTGTGGAAATGGAAAGAAGGATACATGCTTTAGAACATAATTGCTATAGACAAATTTGTACATATTAGCTATTTCGAGCCAACAACAACAAAATATGTTAAAGACTAAATAATTTTGCAGCATATTGGGGGGGGGGGGGGGGGGGGGGGGCTCTGGGCCTTTCTGGCTATGGGGAAATGTTGCATCCTCGCCTGGTTCAAGCAAATGGTGAGAGTTGACTCAATTGCAAAGTGAACATTCGAGGGTAGTTGAAGAAGAAGCGGCATTGTGGGAGGGGGGGGTGTGTGCAAAAAAAGGGGTGGGGTGGGGGGGCCAAGAGGAATTTGGAATGACAACTTCAAGAAATGGACGTGGTTAAACTGCTATACATCAGGTCAACAAGTGGAACACAGAGAAAGAGAAACATGGCAGGTTTGTGTGCAAGTGCTTCCACCAATCCACCTCCACGACCCTGACAGGTCAAGGGTTATGTTATATTAACAAACATGTCATTTAAGGCAACTAAACAAAGGGGTAGGGTTTGCTTAAAATTCCACTTTCTGGACCTAGAGTCCAAATGTTTCATTGCCCAGCTACTAAGCTGAGTGTTTGGTGCAACAATGTGAGCTGTGGTTTTCATGTGAAATGTTTTCTTCTGTTGTTCTGTGTTGCTGCCAGCATTAAAATAGCGGGTGGGTAATTTACCTTCAGAATGGTGTGTACTTCTGCAGGTGCAATGTCGGCTTTCCTGACTGACCACCTGCGCCAACAGTGAGCTGTAATTCTTGTATGAGACTATTTGTGTTGGCACATTTGACAGTTGCCGTATGCATTTTTACTTTGCATCTGCAAGCTTCAAGATTTTGCTGGGACTGACAATTTTTTCACTAGTTTCAAATGGGACCAGGAAAGAATATTTCAGGTGATTTCCACTAGCACAGGAACAGAGCAGTCATGGGATTACCTGTTTTGTAGTTGTGTTGGAACCTCCACCAATGACAGGTTGACTGGTTGACAGCCTATACTCCACTGGGAGATAAAAGGTAAAAGAAGCCATAAATTACTGCCTGCATTTACCATTTTTAAGAGTGCAGGCAGCCAGGTCTCTGAGCCTGAGGATTTAGGGCGGCATAACAAATGCTGTCGCAACCGATTGTGCAGATTAGGATTTTTTTCATTGCCCCTGATAGAAAAACCCATAACCTTAGCGAGGATTCAAACCAGGGTCTCCCAATTAAGAGCAGTCTTCTTAACCATTTAGCTAGCCACTCCTCGACAAAGAAGAAGCAATAAATCTTTATTTGTATTTTTGTTTGGATTTATGTTTCAGATACGCCTCTGAGAAGAGCAGCAGATGGTAGCACAGTAGCCAGATCATGGCAATTCAACTGGCAGTCCGCAGGCCAACTTGGCCAGTGGAGGCCTAGCAAGTGGCCCACGGATCACTGCCAGTTGTACTGTATTAATGATCTTTCACTGCTAAAGCTCGAGCCTTTGTCCCGTGACAATGCCTATTTTAAACAATTTTGTCCCTTGGTAAATTTAGTGGAGCAGCCCTGAACTAGACGCTCGCCCATCTGCCCTAAGGTCTTGTTTTTTTACTACTCGCACAAGTGAATTGAAAAAAAAAATTACCTTCTTCTCGATCGACCAGCCTAAAATGGGTACCAGTTAATGTCACAGGAAGTAAAAGTAATTAAACGTGTCAAACTCACCGACTTTCAAGTAAACACACATAGACTTCTGAATCCAAACTGGCAAAATCTGCCCTTTCCAAACAACTCTGACTTGATCAAGAAGAACTTCTTCAATACGGCCAGCATTTCTTTCCTGTAAATAAATTTAATTTTTACACATTTTGCATATTTATATATGGTAAATCAGATCATCATCCCCATTATCCAAATCAAGTGCCTGTTCTGTAAGCCTGAATGCAGTAGATAACACTTATATGTACTGACATTGTTTTTTTTTTTTTTAAATAATTCCCTGTCCAGGACAGAAGTCGGTAAAAGTAATGTTGGTCACCCCTCCCCCCCCCCCCCCCCTTACCTCGTCCATATACACACTAGCTCACTTCTGATTGGTAGTTTTTGAACCTGTCACCTTGGCACAAAGTTATGGGGGCTTTCAGCAATGCTGTTGATATATTTCAGCATGCCAGCGCTTTTTACACTCCAAAAACATGGAGTAACTGGTCCTAACACAACCCCCTTAGAGAATGCTGCAACCGATGGCACATGCATTCTCTTTCTCGGAATCAAAACGCAAATGCAAGACATAACAGAAAGCAAACAACAGAGCGGGACACACACGTAACCTTCAGGAAAGTCGACCAGCCCAACAAACTTGTGAATGAAAAGTGACCTACTCTATTTGGGGAGATTAACCTGAACCTAACCCAGAACCATAATCCACCCCCCCCTTTTAAAAAAAAATATATTTCTTAGTTTCATGTTGACCTTTGTCGTTTGTCTCTGTTGACTTATCCGCTGAGTTTGTTGGTCACAGTTTGTGTTTCTGTATTTAGTGCTAGACTGACAGAGACCTTGGTCGAAAAACTCCCTCCGCTGAGCAATTGAATACAATTGTATGTTGTATTTAGCACTAAAGGTTTAACAACCAGTGACCTAAAGAGTCACTTTTCTTATGTGAGTCCAACAGAAGCAAACCTCTGACAGCCTGTGTATAACAGTTACATTGGGATACGAAGTAATCTGATGTCCTGTGTGGCAAGGGTTATACTCTGTATGTAATGAAAGACAGGATTCAAACCCCTTTGCACACATACACTAATAAAATGGGCCATGGTTCCTTTAGAATCCCAGAGAAAAAAAATCCTTAATGTTTAGTTTTTTTGTTAACATAGGTCACTAACAAATTTGTTTCAATTCATTTATCTATATGTGCTTAAAAAAAATTTCAAAATTCATAAAGAATTATGAAGGGAGTTTTTAATAAACAGGAACAGGGTGAAGCACTGAATGGAATACATTTCTCTGAGCCTCAAACAAAAACATCTGTATCCGGTGACTCCTGCTTTTACCCCATGTTCTTTATTATTGAGGCTTAGGGGAAAATCTGACATCAAGTCAGCTTAAAAAAAAAAAAGAGAATTTTCTTGCACCACCTTGCTCTGTCTCTTTTTCTTCACATCCTTCCAGTGGTCATAACATGTTCCAGTTTCCTTCTTCTCATAACATGACTAAAAAAAGTTATGACTGTTTCTTTCCGAGGTCTATGATAAGTTTTAATTAACAACAGTACTAAATTTGAAACTCGGCAAAAGCTCACCAGAATCTCCCAGTCATCTGTAGATAATGGTTCCACCTCTACTTGCCGAGCTGATAACACTTGTGACTTGATCCTTCTTAAAGGTAACTGGTGAGAAAACCAAAGTAAGTGAGAAAATAAAAGATCCTTTTCCCACCCCAGGCACATCAAGGATATAGTTAGTAAATGACCCATCCCCCCGCCCCCTCCCTCCCCCCCCCCCCCCCCCCCTTTTTCAGGCCTAATTGGCATATAGAGCTAGACCTACATTTTACAAACCAATTGGCACATGGTGAGTAATGACAAAATTTAAGGTTGGATCGACTTGGTAGCCAAGATTATTTTTGAAAACAGTCCGGTTCCATCAGAACCAGAACCCACGAACTTTGCACCTGCAAGCGAGCACCTAGCCGCTACACCATGGTGGGTGGTGCCAGTCATACAGTACAAGACCCATATTTGACAGCCCAATCGCCACTCAATAGGTGAGGTCAACATCATTTCTGCCCTCTTTGCTTCCCAGGGAATTATCTGAGAGCTAAGACCAATTTGTAAAAGAAAAATTTGCCTCAAAGCCCATTTAACCCTAGACCTTCAGGCAAGCATGCAAGAATCTAGCCACTACACTATCAAAGCTCCCAAAGGTAGCTGTTTAAAACAATGCAAGGTTATTCAAAATGATGGATACAATTTCATTCATTTACATTTATTTAAATATAAATGATATAATAACTAACATACATACAAGAGAGAGAGGAAGATCTAAAGTTTTAAATATTACCATTAGAGCGCAGTTGCATAACCTGCAGAACCGTACCAGTGAACACAGTTATTCAAGAGATGCGTCTTTGTGTGGGGGATGAGTTCGGCTATCTCTTAGATTTTTCCGAGCAGCAGATGGCAGTGATACTAAACATCTATAACCTTTATTGTAAGTTTTTCAAATCAAAGCCTAGACCTTCCTCTCTTTCTTGTATGTATATTTTTAATAAGTAATGTATAGACAAGGAAATATGCATGAATGAAAGTGTATCCATCATTTTGAATAACCCTGTATAACTAATCACATCTATAACTTCCTGTTGCTTCCTTGCTAAAATCTAATTTCAAGAGGTTTTCATTCTAGCAGACAATACTTCCTATACCAGTCGCACAAGGAAGAAAATCTTAGACATAATGAAAGCAGAGCAGCCAGAGGTCGACCACACAAGCAATGGATAGCTGGAATATCCAAAGCCGTAAATACCCTCATCTATGTAGCACATATCCAAGCTCGCTCCCAATACTTCTTCTTCTTCGCATTCCCTAGCTGCAAACTGGTGGAAAGTTCTTGTTGTTCACCCATTTCTGGACTTGAGACTTGTTCCAGAACTTGAGTTTTACATGCACATCGGTATTACAATCTGACTTTTTCATATGGAGACTGCTGGTTCCTTGCCTCTCAGGCAGATGTAGTCTGACTCAAAGAAACACCCCTAATTAGGCGCCTCCTATGATATGCTTGTTTCAGGGGTTTGGGGGAGGGGGGCAGTGGGTATATTCTTTGTTCCCCAGGAATTCACATGGAGAAAATATAATTCAATATAAAAAGAGCCCAACAACCAGATCCTTGCTATATGACCATGGCACAGACAGTGGTTTTTTTTTTTTTTTTTACTTAACTGATTTATGGCATTAAAGATCTTCTACTTTGACAAGGAAGGACAATAGCCATTGTTACCCATAAAGCAACAAATCGCAAACTGTTCCTTTCCATGACGCTAAATGGCAAAAATGGTAAATTTGTGATGATGCTGTAAATACCAAGTAAAAAACAATAACGGCATAAAATCAGTTAATGAGCACAGACAGGTAGTACTTACAGGATCTCCGTCTTTCAGGCCCAGCTTGCTAGCATACCATCCATTAAGCTGTACTCTGTCACCTGAGCACAACTCAATGGCCTTCCCTTGAAGACTAAAATAAGCTTTCTGTTCCCTGCCCAAAGCATCTTCGTATATAATGACCTAAATCAAACAAATACAACACATATACATACTGTGATGAGCCCAGTAACGTTAAGCATGTGCTCTAGCCTTTAAAATTAACAGTTTTACTATAAGATGCATTCATCTGAAACCCGTTCCAATGGCTTTAATACAAAAGAATGAAAGAAAGAAACATCAACAGGTGTGGCAGAATTAACAAAGCATTTACTTTGAATTAATTGTGCACCATGGGTTGGTCAGAAAAAGTCCATGTAGGCATTCAGGCAAGCATTGCATTGTTTAGGTAGGTGAAGAATGCCATCCACAAGGAAAGACTGTGGTTTCTCACTGAACCATGTGTTCCTCCTTTAGATGGTCGGTCAACCTCCATGGTACCCACTGTAAATACACCCTCCAATATTGTAGTTTCTTATGACAGTTTCTTATGAACAACCTTCTGAACTGTAAAAAGTGGCACATCAAATTTTACTTGGCTAGTGAATTTATTCTTTAACAATGGTTCACCTGTATCGTTGCATCAATTGTGGTGATGGTTTTTTCGGTTGTAACAAGATGTGCTTTACCCAGCCATAGAAAATATGTTATGAACTCAAATCCTTTCCCCCAAAAAATTAGCATCCAGGCTGTCACTGCTGTCTTTGATGGAAATTTCTTACTGTAAACTAAACTGTCGTTCAAAATGGACGCTAGGCACGGTCACTGTTTTAAGCCGTGGCAAATTTGTTGCTTCTGCCAGACGGTGGCTGTTGCATTTTTGCTCCATTTGTAGACTGAAAGGATATAGTTTCATCGCCCAGCTTCTGAGTTGAGTGCATGGCATGACACTGTGAGCTGTGGATTTCATTTGGAATGTTTTTCGACTGTGACCAACATGGTGGTGTGAATTGTAGTTTCATAAAATGGCGCGATGCCTGATGTCACGATATTGATGGTGCCATGTGATTAAAATTAATTGCATGTGCAACTGCTGATCTGTTGGTGACTTCTGCTACCATTCATGATGAACAGCATTTCTAATGTCGGACTGTTTGTGTTAGCACTTCGGACGGCTACCGTACACTTTATTGCGTGTGTATGCTAGTGCATATACTGAAACAATCTGTCAAACTTTCCACAAGGGACTGTGATAAACATTCTGTGTTTTTCGTTGGCACAGGAGCGGAGCAACTATGGGGTGACCTGTTTGTTATGAAGCTGAAACTCAGATTACCAGATTACTGTATACTGCCTGCATTCTTCCATATATGTCCACTGGTCGACATCCTTGAATCACTGCTTTCTGAGCTTCTTTAAATGGATCAACCAGGCCTCTTTCATAAAGGTCAGAATTTATGCATCATGGGATGATAAGTATGTGGTCACATGCTACTGGATTCATTGGTTATCACATGACTATGCTCATAAATACTATGACACGAGCATGTTCAATGCAAGCAATTATGTGCAGTGTGGCACAAAAGGGTTTCAAATGTATCTTCCTAATAAGAAAGGTAACATTTACAGAGACCACATCACAAATGATGAAGTTTGCCATATCATCACTCAACACATTGGCAATTATGATGCAAT